TGAGGATCCCCCACAAATTAGTTGTCGTTACCTATTTTTTGCCCTGCATACGCGCCCGCCCGCAGGCCCCCACCACGCTCTACTCTTCGGCACGCTACATAGCCACTACTCTTCTCCCGGGCATCCGGACCCCATGGGACACAAACTTCCCTTCGACAAATCGTTTTTCGCGTCACGGTTTAGGTAACTCAGTCCGACCGCGACCGCGATCCCGCAATCCGAGTGCCGTATTTCTGCCGTACACATACCTTGTAGGCGCTGACGCCGTCAAAGGGCCCCACGGCACGCGGTACGGACACGGAGCGCCCGGCGGCCGGCGTGGAGGGTTTTGCACCCGCCCAACCGGGGAAGGACTCCTTCATGGTCGTAGAGTCCTGGAAAGGTCCGGCTGCGGGCTGGAGCTTGTTGGCCGGTCGTACACGGTTGTACGGCACATCCTTGGCGGGGTAATCGACCCTGCATTGTGGCGTGCGGAACGAACAAACGAACGAAAGGATGAGCGATGGAGCAAGTGGGGGGAAGGCGGGGGCGGCCTTCGGGGGTTGCTTGGGGAGGAAGAGGGGGGATCGGAGAGCTGTTCGACTTTTGCCGTGTATTGTTTGCGTCAGGTGTGGGGTGCTGTGTATTGCTGTCCGGTGCTGTCGTACGGCACCACGCGTCAGGCCCTAATGAACTCCCAGGGTGCGTTCCGCGAATTTCGCAAACCACGAGGTCCACGTACGGAATTTGGCACAGATGCACCCGTACAAACATCCGTACATCCGTACATCCGTACGCACGTACTTGTAAGTGGTCCAGGGGCTAAACGGCAGGTTCTCCTTCTCGCCCGCGGGAGGTTTGAAGGATTGAGCGGGGCCGGCTCCCGCTGGCGCCTGAGTGTGGGGAATGGGGGACGAATGCGGAGAAGTGTGTGTCTTTGTTTCTCTGTCTGTCCGTCTGTCTGCCTGTCTGTCTACCCTATCTGTCTGTCTGTCTGTCTGTCTGTGTGAATTGCAAGGATGGGAAGGAGCTGGGAGAGGATGAGGGCCTGGGATTACGTGTGGATGTGTCTGTACGAAAGTGAACTAAGAGTACGACTCGAATAATCACGGGGGAGATTACGACAGTGATGAAGACAAAGACGAGGATGACGTGGAGCAGGGGGAGAAGGCAATATGGTGCGGCTCGGGGTGGTGATGCGGAGGGAGTGGCCGCCTGGCTTAAACCCCGATGGCTCTAGGCGGGTTTTGTGTGGTGACAGAAAAGGGAGCGAGTCAGTGCGTACCTGGAAATTGGTGCCGTACGATGTCGTCCCATCAAATGGGCCGTCCGGTCCTAATTGGCTTCGGGGTAACATGGACGCGGTGCGCTCGTGGGGGGCTTTCTTCTCCCAGTACTCCTGCAAAGGCAGCGATCGAAGTTTCATTATAAAGATACATTTAAAGTTATAGATGGTGTTTTTGTGATGATAGAAATGGTTATTGCGAATTTGATGTTATTGCAAGTAGTGATAAGGAAAAACGGTTACGGGACTTGCCTTTTGATACTCAGTAAGGAGTGCCCCGTCGGTCCACGGCTCCTTCCGTCGCCATCCCTTTGGGCATGGCTTCTGCAAGGAGTTGACATCGGCCATTGGGTATGATGTAAAGGCCTTGCTGGCATCCCCAGTTGCATCCATGCCAGTGCACCGCGGCCCATCGCCGAAAGATGCTTAAGAGGGTATTTCGCGTTGGGTTTATCTGTTTTAAAATGTAGGAACGCAGGTCTAAATCATGGCGACGACAAACCTTTTTCGGATTGGCCGTCATCGACTGAGCAAGCACCGTTTGTTGGTCCGTCATTAACTGCTCCATTATGAACGTTAATAGATGTTGTTAAGGGAGCTTTTGGCTATGGGCTGCGTTTAAGAAGAGCAGTCACTGTTATCTACCTACCACCTCTGCATCCAACGTTTGAGCTGAACAGGCCAGATAAAGGAAGGCTTCGGTGCATACAGGTATCGTTTGAGAGTCATCAGGGTCTGTTATTGATCTTTTGCAGCGCGTCTCTGCGCAAGTCTCCTCTGGTTCGAAGTACGGCGAAATGTAACGATACGACTGGTAAAACCGACCGCAAAGCCTAATCGGCCGCACCCGTTGTGCAGCATTCCGGTTGAAGCTACAATCAATCTACTGACAGCCAAAACTGGGTACATAACTGAGTCGCATCCTCCAGGGCATTCGGTTATCCACAGCCATCGCGCTGCACTTGTCTATCAATTGCAACCGGATAAAGAGAAGAAAACGTGATATACTTTGCTTGGAATGTTACACAGCTTGAAACCAGACATATCCCAATCCTTAGCATCCTCCGTCGCCCTCTCAGCCACAGTTCCAGTAGCGAAGACATAATCAGAGGTAATCCGCTGCCGGACATCATACGGAAGATGGTAACTCATGTACCAAAACGGCGACAACAGCCCCAGCTGGTTTGGAACTGCAGAAGTAAGTCGTCATACAACATATCCTGATGATGTTCCCCCACAAGCGCACGAACAGCACTGATCAGACCCCCTAACCATTTCGCTACCAATTGTCTCGAGCCAAGGACGCTTTTCAGCTCAGCATTCCTCAGCATTCCTCACCCCTCCCTGTCACCAAAATAACCCCCTGGATTTAGAACATCTAGCGCTGTTTCCGCCTGGATCCGACTTCGGGACACGCCGAAAACTGACCTGGCTGGCCAAGTGATGGCCACTGTGAACAGGCATGTGTTCCTGCCACCCCCTCACCCGGACCCCATGCCCTCTCACAGCTCGGGAAGTGAAAAAGCTCATGCGCCTTCATGTTTCCATCTTCAACGGCTCGCCCTCCTTCACTTTGAGCTGGGCTGCAACCTCATCGATAGACGCGTTCAGTTGGGCAATCTTCTCAATGAGGTCCTGCTTCGTTTGCTCCGGGTCCTTGGGCTGCTCATCCTCCAGGAAACGTGGCAACTTTAGCCGTTGGTCATCCCCAAGGATAGCCTTAGAAATCTGTGGGTATCGGCACAAAGGTCCGGGTCGGAAATTCCACGCAAGCATGGCCCGTGAGCGTTAAGTCGTAAACTCACCTGCGGAGCAAATAGGAACCCAAGTGCGCCAAACACTACACCGCCAACAACAACTCCAGCCAGAAAGCTGTCGCTGTTGCGCCCATTGCCCTCGGCCCTGTAAGCGTTTTTGGAAAGGAATGGGTCGGACGCCGGCGTTCAGTTCGCGGACTACGGCAAATACTTAAAGGCACGCCCAGCTAAACACGTGCAATTTTGCATTAAAGGCCACCTCACCGAACGACGATCGCCGACCGGGGCCGGACGGGCAACGCCGCCCGAACTCGGTGGACTTGCGCAGCCCGCTGGGGCAGAACAGCTGCAGCAGGAGAACATCCGAGAAAGTATATTTAGATTCTACTTAAATGCGTTTCCATGGCAGCGCCTAATCCTTGGACACGTGCCCGACCACTAATTTGCAAATTCTCACCTTGTTGGCGAAGCATTGTTACAATCTGTGATACAAAGACACCAGAAACAACATATCTGACATGGTACGTTAATCAACTTTCAAGCGACTGGTCTCGGAGCCGATGCCACCTACAAATTGTCAGAGCTAGGCTGTATAGCAGGGTCTGACGGTTATCACAACGGAAAGTTAAAAGTTGATTATCTTTTCTGTATAGAACCATCGTTCAATTCGTCTTCTGTCGGTCTCGGAAACATCTGAACCTTGGACAACAGCTATCAGCTTTAGAGACCAAACTCCTGCTGCGCTGGGGCCATGTTGGCAATGCCGCATATTTCGCTGCCCCTGGTGGCCCTTTTGGCGGGGCTGTTTCTTACAGCTCCCCTTGCGTTTCTGCTGCTGCGCCCGCGCGGCCGCACGCTGGTCCTGTCATCCTGGCCGCACCCCATCTGGCTGTACATCCAGGCGTTTGCGGCAGTCACCAAAATGTCCAACAAGCGCAAGGAAGCGCCGGCCTGCGGCAAACCCGTCCAGGTGGGCCGCAAGAGCGTTTCGGTCGCGCTCCGCGGATCCCAGCACGCATCACGCTGCTGAGCATCGTCTCAGCTGAAAATATTCAGCAGGAATAAGTCCCTGCAGCGACCCATTTGAGATGGTCTCGCCCAGTGCTGTTTTGGACCATATTTGGCTACCCAGGATTGTGCCCTCGACAGAGCTCAGAGCGAAAGTGGAATAAGTCCAGGCTTTTCCCGTTCAGGAAGATATGCCATCCCTTTCTATTAGTTGGTTAATTGACAGAAATCCCGGAGTTTAGATTAGCCTCCGAGAGCTAAGCAACATCTGAAAAGCACAAGAAAAGTCTTTCGGACTTCCATTTCTCGACCGGTAACGGCTCCGGCGCGTCAGGCCAACCGCACACCCCTGGAATCTTCTTAACTCCTTAATACCTTTCAGACGCCGCTGATAACATCGTGAGCTCTGCTTGCCCGTGCGCCGTCGTCCGCTCTGCCTTCCCCCCTCCTCGCCACACACACACACCTTCGCGCCCGTCCCCCTGCCCTCATCCCTCACCTCCCACCCCGAGACAGTCAACACCGCGGTCACCCTAAAACCAAATTCGATATCCCTATCGTACCGAGTAACAACAGACCCTAAGATCCATAGCATCATGTACATGCCGTACGACAGTTAGTACGGCAGTCATTACTGGTTCCCTCGGAGCGCCCCGTTACCACGTATTAGGAGTTGGCAATGCCGTGCGCCATCTCTCCTCAATATGCGATGCAGTGCCTGCAGTGTCTGAAACGCTAACTAACTGCCCCCTCTGATTTCCCCCGTTCGCCCCCCCTCCCTCCCCTCCCCTCCCCTGTTTGTTTGTTTGTTTCTTGCACGTACATATATGACTTCCTTCCCTCCCCCTCCTCCACCTCCCCTTCCACCACCTCCTCCACCACCACCTCCTCAGGTGATGTTGGATCACGGGGTCCACTTCTCCCCGGGCAGGCTGAGGCGCTACCTGGCCCTCGCGGGTTTCAGTGGCGGCACGGCGGGGGATGTGCCGCTCATGTACCCCCTGGTGGAGGGTTTCCGGCTGGTGAGTCCGGCTGGGGCGGTGTCCGGAGACTGACTCTGAAAGGGACGGGGGGGAGGGGGGAATGGAGGGGGAGCTCTGGTACGGGCACCAGAGCTGTCTGTCTGTCTGTCTGTTTATTGTATCTATCTGCCTGTTATTATTTATATTTCTATAATAAAATCCAGCTGCCGAGTGCAGCCACCCACATCACCCCTTCCCCTAACCCCCAAACCCAAAGCCCAAACCCTCCCCAACCCCCCTGCTGGGTTTTCCCCGTCGCTCTTCTTCGCTGTCTGTCTGTCTGTCTGTCTGTTTATTGTATCTATCTGCCTGTTATTAGTTATATTTCTATAATAAAATCCAGCTGCCGAGTGCAGCCACCCACATCACCCCTTCCCCTAACCCCCAAACCCAAAGCCCAAACCCTCCCAAACCCCCCTGCTGGGTTTTCCCCGTCGCTCTTCTTCCCGCCGCAGTTCATGCAAGCTCTGCTGCTCCCAGCCTTCCCCTTCAACGTGCTCGGCAGCGTGTTGGCGGGGACACGCGTGGTGGCTCTGAGGCGCATCGGGGTGGACGAGAAGCTGCTGTACAGGTACGTTTGTACAGATGCCGTACCCATGTAACCGTGGGATGGGCCGCCTCCAAAGATGCCAGTGATAGGCGACAGGGAGAGTTGCGGGGAAAGGGGGGGGAGAAATGAACCCTAAAGTTGTATTCATCTGCAATTACGAGTTTCACAGAGCTCAGGATGAATGTTGAGAAATGTCGAAGGTGTCCAACACCGGGGGGGCGAGAGCTGTACGTGACTGTTTAGATTCTCTGGGCAGATGCTCATGTATTGCCTTCACCTTGAGGTCCACTTTAACCTCTTCTGCTTTACGCGGGGCGTTGTTTTTGTTTACGAGAGGAGAAGGTGTTTACCCCTGTGACCCGTGGGTCGGTTGGTCTATTTCCGCCCTCTCCGCAGCTGCCGCGTGGATCCGGCCTTCCGTACGACAGCGAAGGGGCACACCGAGGTGGATGTGGTGGTTGAGGCTCACTCAGTGAGGGGCGACAAGAAGAGGAGTCCGCAGGCGGCGGGCACCGAGGGGGCGGAGGCTTCCGGCGCGGGTGTTGGTGGCGGCGCTGGTGGCGGCAGCGAGGCGCAGCTGGTTTGGCGAAGCGTCACCACCGTCATCATTTTGTCGCCAAGGCGCAAAGGCGCCAAACGGGAGCAGCAGCAGCAGCCGCCAGAGGCAGCAACGGCCACTTCGGCGTCTGGCAAGGTGCGGCCTAAGGGCTCCCCCGCCCTCCTCGCCGTCTGAGTACGGAAGTGCCAGCAGCTGGTCCGGCAGCAATATGTTTCTTTCGTCCCATTTGTCTGTCCGTCTGTCTGTTTATTTGCCCGCCCACTACCCAAATGGTTGGAAAAATTCTTACCGTTCGACGCTTCCGTGTTGTTAAGACCCCCATGACCCTCTAAAACCCATGTTGTAACGACAACAACAACAACAACAAAACATAAACCCCTAAAACCCTAAAACCCTAACAAAACAACGACAAGAAACAGGAGCCTGCTGGCCCCGGGGAGGGGGCGGAGGGGGGAGAGGCGAAGGGGAGTCAGGCGGCCGAACTGTCCCCCAAGCCCACTGTTGTGGATACCTGGAAGCTCGGACCCGACGCGGGCCGCCGCTACGGGCTGTTGAACGGGGACCTGAACCCCATCCACCTCCACCCGGCGACCTCAGCGCTGTTCGGGTTCAAGCGCCCTATTGCACACGCGCTGTTCCTGACGGGTCGAGCTGAGGCATCGCTGCGCAAAGCCGGTAAGTGACCGAGTGGTGAGGGGGTGGTTAGCGCGCGTGGTGAGCGGGTGGATGGATGGACGGCTGCTTTTACCAGGAAACAGGTCCTCCTGGTGTCTTAATGGCCAATTGTGGGTGACTGGGTGGCGGTGATTTTCAAGTGTTGTTGGAGATGTTTTTGTTGGTGCGATACGCTGTGGCGTGTGGCCGGGAGTGAGTAAAAAGCGCGCAACTCCCGTTTTGTCACTTGAAGCGCATGTCCTTAGGAACCTTGCGCCCTTCCCAAACCTCAACCGAGTGCGCTGCCCCTGGGACAACCGCCTTGCGTATTACTTACTCGGCGCACCATCACCACCGCAACCACTGCCTCACAACAGGACTGGAGCTGCACTACCCGTGCGCACTCACCGCGGAGTTCAAGCGTCCCACGCTGCTGCCTGCCACACTGCATTGCGCCTGGCTGGGCGGAGCCTCCGGTCTAACTGCCGCCGCCAGCGGCCTTGGCGCCGCGGAGCTCGACAGCCGCGAGGGCGTCCGCTTCGTAGCTCTGTCCTCCGACCTGTCCAAGGAGGTTCTCGTCGGCCGGGTGAGCTGCAACCCGCAGGCTGTGGATGAGGCACTGGCAGTCGAGGAACGCGGTCGAGGACGGTGAAAAGAGGACAAGGGCAACGGGAAAAGGCTTTCCACGGACGTGTTTTGAGTTCGTGCGCGGCGAGAGAGGAAGGGGAGGATCTGCGGCGGAAAGGGCTGCCCCTGCCGGTTTGATTAAAGAAATATGGGACTCGGGTTGTTTTGTTCCACTCCTGCTGCTGCTGTTGTGTTAGCCATGTTGCTGCGCTTCGTTGCTGCGCTCTCTTGTTCAGCTGGTATGGGGGATTTGTTTTGGCTTAAGGGAGGGTTTAAATTCTTGTTGTTTGTTGGATAGCTGTCCGACAGCAATTCGCTGACAGGAAACTGGAGTTGTTGCAGGGTTTGTTAGCGCCTGTTGTGAGGCTGCGTGTGAGAGGAAAAGTTATGGGAAATGATGATGCGAGTTGATGGACGGCCGCGCATTGGGGGGGGAATATGCGACCTTGTTACCTCTCAACCGCTGGAGATTTGGCGTGTTGTGGATTTGTCCGCAGATAGGAAGTATTCCTTCCACCAAGGGGGCCGGCAGGGGGGCTGAGGAAGGGAGAGATGGTAGGGCTTATGTGTGACAGTCGTACCAAGTTGTCGTACTTTTTGGATGTTTTCGCATCACATTAGACTCACAGCTGCGTCTCTCAGCTGTATATATGTTTACGCCGTGACGATGTTCCGTGGCCGAAGCGCGGTGCTGGCGGTCGATAGGGGTATAGCAGGCAGGCAGGCATCCAGCAGGAGGGCAGGGAAAAGCAGGAGCATTGTTTGTTGACTGTCTTTTGACTGTCTTTCAAAAGTCGTACTTCCACCATTTGAAAACAATTGAAGATGTTGTCCGTTGCTGTGTTCAACGCACCGATTTGGGTTTGCTGGACAGAGTTGAGTTTACCGGTAAGATGTGCTTTTCTCTTCCGAGGTTGTTGCCCTTTTGAAGTTGTTGACACCCAAGATGTAAAAGTGCCGAATTACTGGCCCCGCTGCGGCTGCGTTAAGAGTCAACACCAATGCGTGGCATGCTGTATGAGGTAGACTAAGAGGTAGCGCCTCCCTAGCCTGCAGCAACCGGCTGTGGAAGTAGCATCCACTTGAGCTAGGTCGGCGACACTTATTTACTGTTTCCAGGGTAACCCTGCCTATATATGCTAAATACGCGGAAGGACGTGTATTGGGGCCCCTCGACGAAACGACCCAAAAGTACACCACCAACAACACTTGCTGCTTCCTAAGAGGTGATCATACCGTCCAACGTACAGTTACATCTGCGAGACACGCTTGTTCAGTTCTTCGTCGCTCTGAAGCTATAAGACAATCAGGCAGTTGCCTAGTGTTTCCAGCGACTCAACAGGCGCAAGAGCATGTTTTCTAGCCCTATGATAGTTATTACCCCTTATGAACTTCGATAAGGGATCCTCAGGAGCCGACCGACGACCGCCATTCATCTGCACAGCAACGACGGGTGTCTGCCCTTCCAAAACCAAAGGCACGGCGGCCCCAAAACAGCTGGAGCACTCGAGATCAGGAACGACGAGTAGGTAGCGGACGGCCGTTGCCAACCTGAACATGGGGGTCCCTTAAAAAACAGAAAATCAAGGCACAAACATCATCGATCTGCACCATCTGCAACTACAACACGTACAGCAATACAGAGTATCGAAGAAAGGGCGAAGGAAAAGAGCCAGCTGCGGAAAAGAGATAATCGGCCACAGATACGGTACATTTTCCCTGCTGTATATTCAGGCAACTAAGAAAAAGCACACATCGTATCTGGGCCGACGCAGAAGTAAATCTACATACCTTTGTAAGCGAGGAAAAGGGTTAACAGACAAGAGCGAAGGATACCGAAATATTCAGCCTAAAGGGTATTCCTTTGGATTATGCACCTAAGGGGGCCGCCGTGGCAAACAAACCTGCGCAACAAGCGCACGTGCCTCCTCTTCCACAAAAACCAACAAACAGTCTCGAGAGTGTCTATATCTACCTACCCCGTCACTTCACCACGGTACCCTCACGCCGCAGGCGCCCCCTATTGCAGCGGCCACCTCACTAGCAACCATTACCACATAACTACTACCTCAACCATGGGTGTGCGCGTTACACGCCGCTGCTTGCAAACAGCGCAAAGGCACGGCACCACCCGAAAAAAGCCTTGGTGAAAGGTTCCAAGCTGAAAACACGCCGGACCCCCAGTGCAACGGGCGTGCAATTGCAAGGAGCATGACCGTAATGACCATGACCAGTTCACAGGGTGGAGGGTGCAGCCCGACAGCCCCGAGGCAGGGAACCAAACACCACGTCACGTGGTTGCTTCAATAAGGCCCCGGACACGAGCACGGCGGCAAAGCATGTGCAGCGGCCCCTCAAGCCCTCAAGTGCCTCCAGGACCCTCAGTGCGGCACGCTCTCTCGTGGCACACGTAGCAAGACAACTTCTTAAATGAGACGCGCTACCACCCATCGGAGTCCAAAAGCCCCAAATAGCGTCCTGTCAGTTCCTGAACCACCCCCATTCTCATCCCTCAAACCCCATCCACGCATCCCCATTTTCTAAAGAGGGAGAGAGAGAGAGAGAGAGAGAGCGCTCCGGCTGCCACCATGCGCTACCGCCGCGCGCCGCAACGGCGAAGCAGCTGGGATGCTCTGCCCCGTGGCTGCCTCCCCGTGTCCTCCCCGCAGCAGCACCACGCAGCTTTAAGCCAGTCACTGGCCATTCCTCTTCCAAGCTTGTCAGCGCCCACCACCACCATCACCACCACCACCACCACATTAAAGCACAGTATAGCCTCCCGAAGCCACATTCCGCCGACATGCTATTCGGAGGTCAGGTCGCAGGGCTCGTCCCTGGATTGCCCCGTCCCCGGAGGGCCGGCGTCGGTAGACTTGGGGTTTCTGCGAGCGTGCTCCGCCCTGCCGTAGTAGGCGTCCATGGGCCCCGTCAGCGCGTCGATGGCCAAGCTGCCGCGCTGGTTTTGAGGCTTGCCGCCGCCGCGGCTGGCGGCAGCGGCGCCACCACGGCTGAGTGTCACACCCTTCGTGGACGATGACGGCTTGCTGCTGCCACCAGCCTGCCCGGCTTTCCGGCTCTTGCTGCGACCCGTCGCGCTTTCGCTGCGGCGCCTTCGCGACCCCTCCGTAGGCTGCCGTCCCGCAGCCTGCTTGCCTCGGCCGGGCCCCTTGTGCTTCATCGCCGAGACACTGCCCACCCGCCCAGACCCTGTGCCTCTGCCGTCCACAAAGGCATCGCTGCTGTCTTCCTCCGTCGCATCGCCTGGTCGCCATTCCTCCACGATATCCACGCTGTCCTCTTCCTCTGGACTACCCTCTAGCCCCGCGCTCTCGTTCTCCGTCCCACGACCGGCCGGCCTCCCTCCATCGGCGACGCCCTGCCCTGAAGACCCTCCTTCCCCTTGAGCCTGCGCACGCAGGTGCGGCTGTCCGCCTCCATCGCCGCCGCCGCTGACCTGCTCGTCTTTACACGGTTCCTCGCGGGCCGCTTGGTTCTCTTCCATATCATCTCCGATGGAAATGGTGAGTCCGCTAGCTTCCCCACCGCTGCCCGGGCTAAAAAGCAGGCTGTCGGATGGCATGGCTTCGACTGCACGTCCCCTTCCTATCGAGCCGCAGGTAGCTGCCGCTGCGGCCGCTACATCAGCGAATGGCCTGCCCGCCACCTCTCTCGCAGCTGCCTGCCAAGCCGCTTCTGCTGCTCCTACCTCCGCACGAATCAGCCCCTGAGCTGCCCCGGCCCCCTGCGCTCCCTGACGGCCAGCTGCAGCCGGTGGGTCACCTCTCTCAAAAGCTCCTTTTTCCGTGAGGTCCAAACGCGACACGCACTGCATGGCGCCGGCTGCCGGCCTACAGCTGCTGCTCGGCCCACCCGGCCCGACGGCCGATGCGGTGGTCGGGCCCTGTCCCTGAGCTGCAGCGGCCGCAGCACCTGCAGTGGGCCCGGCTGTCGGACCCGTCGGAGCGCCCGGAGTCTGCACTGCGGAGTCCGGGCGCGGAAATAACACGCGGCCTATCGCGGCCGCTTCGCTCACTGCTAGCATGGTACATGCATTCGCGACTTCCCGCCAGCGCAGTGATCGGAAGGCGTCCTCGGCCACCAATGGGCCCGTTGCATGTAGAGCTCCTCGCGTTGAAGCCGCAGCCTGCGTCTGCGTCTGCGTCTGCATTTGCGTCTGTTGGGCAGGTGAAGCTGTTCCGGTGCCGTCGCGCTCTGTAAGGATGTCGCTGGGGGTCCCCGGAATCCCGCCAGGTGACAATGCCTCGCCGCCCAGCGATTGAGACGCCCCTGCCGCGTCGTCCGCCGTCAGTGAGCCACCGTACTCCACCAGCCTGAAAGCCTGGTCCTGCTGCAGCTGCTGCTGCTCCTGGGACCCCTCACCGCAATCCAGCACCAGTACAAGCTGTGGGCTAAGGGTAGGGCTTTCTTCCCCCAGTTGCTCAGGCTGCGGCTGCGGCTGCGGCTGCGAGCCCTTGGGGCTTGTGGTGGCCGCGGTTGCCGTTGCGTAGGAGGCTACGGAAGCCCTTTCGCCGCCGCCCTGCTGTTGTAGTTCAGTCTGAGACTGCCATTTCGGTTGATTGTGAGGGCACCCTTCTGCATGAGGCTGCCCAGGCCCTGCCCCCGCATCCCCGCGCTCAGGGGGGAGTTGCTGCTGGCTGTCCAGGCTGTCCAGCTCTGACCGCCGCCGCCGCTTTCGGTCGCCCCCGGTGGGGCTGGGACCTGCAGCAACGCAAGTGTGTGGATCCCCCCTGCTTGGGCCGGCCTCCTGCGGCTGGCAAGTGCAGCTTGTGCCCGCATACAGGGCAGCCGGTGCAGGCTGTGTCGCGGTGGGCAGAGGTCCTTTGGTCACCGCAACTGTCTCCAGCTCCGGTCCGGGCAGGTGCCAAGGCACGCCGCCTGGCAGGGGTTGGGTTCCACGACCTGTGGTGGAACCCACCAGCGGATGAAGCTCAGATAGCATCGCTGGCCTAGGAAGCCGCGGCTTGAGAGGTGCTTGGGCTGGTGGTGAGAGGGTGAGCAGGCGGCTCTACAGCGCAGGTGGTGTGCCTTTGCGTGATCAACCACGATTTCGGAATTATTATGTTTTTTTCCTCAAGGGCCCTTCCTTCAAGTCTTCCTTCAAGAGTTGCAAGAGGACATCAATCGCCACCTGAGAGCCTTTTGCTGAACTCAACCGGTAGGTCACCACCGCCATCATCATCGCACCCGGCAGGAGAATTCCTTCCTCAAGACCCTTCCCCTTTGACCTGAAAGCGTGGGATCGTAACTACACCTAAGCCCCAAAGCCGGTGCTCACTCGCGAAACCTTCTTCGGAGCCAGTGAAAAACGTCTTGTGGGACCCAAGCAGCCTCACTGCACTTGCTTACCTAGTTCCGAGGTTCTCCACCTCTTTTTCACCTTGTCTGCCTCCTGCCTAATTCTGTTCACACCTGTGTGCGTGCGTGTGTGCGTGTCGAGCGGGAGAGCGGAATTGGCGGACAGAGGGAAGGGTAGGTGCTTTCTGTAAAACGCAGGCGCAATGAAAGGAGCACAAACTGCAGGGAGCACCGAGGCAAGAGAACCAAAGAGAAGACAACAAGTATGCAGTGCTGCGAAGCCCGTGCTTTCGAGATGTTTCCATCGAGCCAAATACACACATGTACTGGCCGCGTGCTCAAAATACCCTTATGCTTTTCATCTGATATCCTTCTGCCAACGGAGCGCAGCGGAAACGTAAAACCAAGAAACGCGGGTGGTATCACTGCGCCGCATTGTCGTGTGCAAGGACAGCGCACGGACCACCACACACACACAGACCCGCGCGCCCCGTCCCAACTCACCCGCTTTCGCTGCCTGCGGCGGCCGAGGAGTATCTGCCCAGCCCTGCAGGTGCTGCTCAGCGCCACCACCGAATGACGCTGGCCTGTGGACGCTGACAGCATGCCCATCAGTTGTGCGGCCCTGCGACTCGTCCCCTGCCCAGCTCGGCGCCTCAGACGCCTGGTTACGAACACCACCGTTCAGGTCTTTATGACGATGCGAAGCTGCTGCAGGCAGATCTGCAACGGCGGTGCGAGCCGTGCGGGTGTTTGGATAGACCGGCTTAAGTAAGCCCATTGGCAGCACACGCTGCTGCTGCCACTGCTGTTGCAGCTGCGGCGGCAAGAAAGGCGGCAATGACTGCGGGTTCCATCCACAAAGCTGCGTGTCGACGAAGCTCTCCCGCTGATGCGAGACGGCGCTGCCGGAGGGCTGAGGAAGGGCTGAGGAAGCGGCGCCGTGCGACGTTGTCCCTACGTCACCGCCGTGGCTAAATCCCTGGGACCCTGAGCCCACGCCCTCCTCCCCCATCAGCGCCGGCAATGCGTGAATCATCCGCGCCAGGCTGCCCACTGGGCCCGCCTGGTGTGTCTGAGGCACATGCGGGTCACCAGTGTGGTGCTGGTGCTGACGCTGGTAAACGTGGTCGTGCGGCTGCTGCTGCGGCGGCGGCGGCGGCGGCGGCGGCTGCTGTTGGTGGGATCCCTGGGCTCCATGTGCCTGCGAGCCGTTGGCTGGACGGCTCAGGTCAGGGACCTGGGTGCCGTGGGCGGTGAGCCTCTTCGAGGACAGAGGAGGGGACTCCTGCGCGGACCACCGCATGGAGGTTGAGGCATGGGCTCCCCGAGTCGGTGGGTAGTCCAGGTTAGCGGACAAATCATCAGCGTATGGGCCGTCCTCCACCTCCTCCACCTCCTCCTCCTCATCATCATCATCGTCCACATCACGGCGAGAGATGGCCTTGGCGTCCACGTGCTCGCGAGCACCGGAGACGTCAAGCGGTCGAGCGGCTGATGCTGACGCAGCCACCACTTCCAAAGGCTGACGGGCTGTATGAGCGTGAGTATGAGTATGAGTAGTAGCAGTGGCTGCAGCAGCGCCTTTTACATCAGCAGACGCCGCAGCTCGCGTCGCAGTGGCGGCAGCTCCTGCACCGGTAATTGCTGCTGCACCGGCAATGGTAACCGCAGCAGCCGCAGCAGCAGCGTGCGCGGCTCTCGGCCGCGACAAGTGCTTCTGCGCGAAGCGTGACACCATCAGAGCTGGCTTCCTGCACGCGGTGAAGGGAGTAGCGACGGCGGGGCCAGGTGCTATGTGCTCCGCGATCGGCTGATGCGCCTGGGTCGCAATGCCGGGTGTGGGTACATCTCGGTTGGAAGCCACCACCTGCTCGCTCAATTGGCCGTTACTCATTGGCTGTTCCTGCTGCTGCTGGTGGGTTACTGGAAGCGTGCAGCGGCCCTGCGGGGTTCCCTGCAGTGCGCCATCGACAGCAGCATCAATGGCTGCCTGTGAGTCGCCCACACCAACCACACTAACTTGCCAGTGTGCGGACGACTCCATTGCAGGAGGATACGCAGACATTGCGGCATCCTCCTCACCGCAGCGCCTTCGCTTTGCACGGTCCGGGTTGTTATCACTGTCCGAGTCCTCTATGCTGTACGCCTCAAGCTGAGGCTGCGGCTGAGGCTGCTGTGCAGCGCCGGTGTGGGGCCGGGGCGGCGGTGGCGACGGCGGCGGTGATGGCGGCGGTGCCTACACGTAAAGAACAGGCCGTAGACGGCGCAGCGCAGGACTAATTCGCGACGGATTCGGACTTGAGCAAAGTGAGCAACAAGTTCGAGGCACTGAAAGCAAGAGCTTTGCTGCGTGAAAGAGAGAGCGCCGCGAAGCCAGAGGTGGAAAGTTACACGCGGCAACTGTCGCTTAACGCGCGGTCTGGTATATATGCGACGGCACTGCTGCACTGCATTGTAAACAATTGAGGTCCCAAAACGTTCCCAGCGAGGGACCACGCGTCTCAACTGCGCTCTGTAAACATGCAAAACAGCCCACAAAAGCTGTTGAAATGGTCGCAAGGCGTCACGCACTGTACATATATATGTGTGTGCTGTGTGCTATATATATATATATATAGCTGTGCTGTGAATAACCATGCAGTGTGACAGCCGGTCAGGTAAGTGCTTCATAATCAGTTAGTTAGGTTATATAACCATGCAACACGCCCATGGCCGGGATCGTGCCAGGGCCAGGCCGTTCCCAAGGACTTTTTCCTGAACACGATGGCACCGTGCCAGCCAAAAACGTTCCACTCAAACGTAACGCAACAGCTCAACGCCCAATAAGGCAACATCATCCTAATTTGTTTCCCAACGAGGGGAACCACCGAGCCAACTCAGAAAAGCCATGTACTGCTGGCGGTAGCCGCCATGAACTACACTGTCGCGGAGCACTCCTAAAGACTCCCTACCCCCCGAAGAATCGGTGCACCGCGCGTCAACGGGTAGACGCGCCCGTACATGCGCCCGTACTTGCAAGGTGCGAGACAGAGGTTACCAGACTGAGAGAAAGTGTGTGTGTTGTATGGGGGTTTCAGACCATCCGCTATTGCCAACAGACCTCCCTCCACCTAGCCGCGCGCACCTCTTCAGGGCGGATGGGAACCATTTTGGTGATCGGCTCCGCACCATCATCCGGAAAACGTGTGTGCTTGCGGCAGGGCCCCCCCAGCGTCGCGCCTTGGCCTCGTGCCGGCGGCCCAGCAGCCCCAGCAGCGTCGGCGACTGGCCCGCATCCAGCTCGCTGTGGCTTCTGCTGCGGATCCGGGGGGTGGGGCTTCACGCGCCCTCCTGGTTCACGTCCTCGATCCGCAACCGACTGCAGAGCGCCTCGCTCATCTTCGCTGCCTGAGCTGCTCTCATGACCACCACTACCACCACCACCGCCACCACCACCACCAGCGCTGAGGTTAAACCTGGCTTGATGCTCTAGCAACCATGCCGGATCTTGGTTGATGTCGTCCTCGCCAATGTCCTCACTGTCCCCAAGGACCAAACCGTTGATGGGCGGCTGCTCGACCTGGGCGTGGCTTGCCACCCCAGTATCCTCGGTTTGTAGCCCGCGTCGGTATCCGCCGGGTGGAGGAGCGGTTCCGCCAGGCGCCTCAGGACCCCTCTTAACCTTGCGGCAGAACTTCTTTGTCCTGGATCCGCCGCTGGCCCCTCCTCCTTCATCCGGAGCACCAGAGTCAGGGCACGGCAGCTCTCCTCGGACCCCCCCGGGTGGTGCTGCCGCCACCGGCTGCGCTGCGATGGCCGCCGCCGCCGCACCGTGCTTGGGGAGCGCCTCCGGGTCCTCCTGTGAGGGCGGCACATCCTGACCTGCTACCTTCTGGCCATCTGCGCCAACATCATCTACGGACCCAGAAGGAGGCGCCCCGTGCAGGTCCCCCTGCTTGCATCCTCGTCCCGTGCTCCAGCGGCTACGCGGTCGCCGAGGCGGCGAGTCCTTGTCCTCATCACTCGAGCTCGCCCCCAGGTCCTCTACCTCCACCTCCACCTTTGCTGCAGCGCCACGGCCCGTTGTTGCTGGTACTGTGGAAGGAATACACCAAGACAAGATGGAATGCAGGCGAGGGTAAAAAGCATCTCAAGCCCTCTGATCAGCTTAACTGAGGACCTGACTGACTTAGGACCTGGTGTGATCATGGAACTATTGCCAATGCAACAAACACAGACGGAAGTGCATTCGGAGACCAGCCGAGCACCAGCAACCCCAACGGGCTGCAACCGGGCTCGTCATCGACATCGTTCCTTTCCGGCAACAGTATGGACATATGGCGGGCGCAACAACTTGAGCTGCAGCCCCCGGAAGATCTCGAAACAGTGATCTCGAAAAGTGGCTGTATACCACTTTGAAGCAGCGCTCGACGGGGAATATAACATACCAATAATATAAATATACTTCGTGCATTCCCGCCCTCACCTTGTGCCAGTGTCTCAGGCACCGCCTCCGCCAGGAGCCTGGGCCGCTTGGCCGCGGGTTGGTCGTCAGACCTGCACAAGGGAGGACGAAAGGCAGTTGCCCGTCCTACCTGAGAAGAAATCGGAAGCACTGGCGGCTCCACACCATGACCCGTCCTTACCATGACCCGACGTACCAAGGACCCACCCCGGACGATTCTCGCAATTTGCCCCAGCAGTAGGCAACTCATTTACCACCTCTCCTACGCAGCTTTCGATACTTACAGGACAGCCAAAGCAAGTACACCTTTTTGCATTCAAACGACCCCTTAACACTCCTTGTGCCTTACCGAGCCTCGCCGCCGCTAGCGGGCCCATGGCTGACGGCCACCAGCTCCACACCCTCGTCGTCCTCATGCTCCTCGTCCTCAATCTCCATGGACTCCGCCTTCGCCCGTGCAATCGGAGGCGCCTCGCCGGCCTGGGGGCCCGCCGCAGCAGCCGTGCTGCCGCCAGCCGGCGCCTGCTCTGTCGGGCCTGCCATCACCGCCGCTGTCGCCCGGGGGACATCCCCGACCTTGTCGGGGGTGGACAGGTCGACCACGGACTCCGGGTTGGTCGCGGGGCCGGGAGGCTGTGACGGGGGTGCGGGTGCAGCTTCGCTGGCGGCGGAGCCCTGCGCGCGGAGGACGCCGGATAGGACGCCAAGTGATCGCATGGCCCCTGCAGTGGTTGCGGTTGCGCTGCCGAAAAGGCTGCCGGTGACCGCCCCAATGCCGGTAAGTACCGCTGAAAGCACCCACGATACGCCCTGTGCGCCAGCCACACGGAGGGCCGTCGGGACGGGCGACGCCGTGGCTCCCAGCAGCAGCTCCCCTTGCCAGGCTGCGTGGCTTAGCGTAATAATAAAAGGCTAGCCGGTTCCAGAATGTAAGTCACACTGCTCCCCACCAGTGGCCTCCCAGTTCAGGCCGTTCTCACCCTACCTTGCGTCGGCGATTGCCTGAGGTTGGAAGTGCGGCGGCGGGCGCAACGCCAGCCTGCTTCGCAGCCAGCCGCGTCATGTGACGCGTCGGGTTCTGGAGAACGACAACGGGGTCCTCCATATGGCCCTACGTGCGAGAGGAGCGAGCGAGGAATAGAAAATGTGGGCAAGGCGTACATACATACATACATGCGGAACACAAGCCGTGACCTGCGTGCTTGCTTCTTGCCACTGGCGGAGGGCGGAGGGTCACAATGCGCCTGCCAGTTCCCCTTGCAAAAACGGCAGCGAGCATGTGCCCTCCCCGCCGCCGCTTTCTGAGAATAGAACCATGAAGGCCATGAAGGGACAGGCCAAGACAAGACAAGACAAGACAAGCAAGCCACCATGCAGGGTGGCTTGCCAACCCACGTTGACGCGCACGCACGCACCTCATGGTCCGACTCGTTGGAGAGGACGCCATCGTCCAGGATAGGCCATGGCTCATTGGGCCGCATCGTCACGTACTTTAGATACTCCTCGGGCTGCAGGTACCGCTGGCCCATCCTGCAAGCAGCGCATGTTCAGTGGCGCATGTTCAGTGGTTCAGATGCATGAGGATGTTAAAGTAAGCGACATGCAGAACACACACACACATATACACACACACGGCGATGTCGCCCCGGTCAAATCGTCGTGCGTGAACGTTGTGCGTGAACGTTGTGCGTGAACGTTGTGCAATCCATCGCCACGCGCATACTTCAATCCAGCCGTCACTCGCAGCAACCTCTCGCCATCTACATCATTGCTCGACTTCCACATCGCACAGTAGCTGGCATCCCCCGCGGCATTGCACAGTAGCTGGCTATGCTAACCTCCCATCGGCGTTAGCCCTTTGCATACATCGGCTACCAGATCCAAGGTCAATACTGCCGGATAAGTTACACCAATACGTCATAATGCTGGAAGATAGAGGATAAAAATAAGAGGCTGCAAAATAATAAAAAGGTTGAACCTAAAGCAAGGTGAGAGCCACGCATCCCAACTCATCTCCTGCCAGGCTTCTTCTCATCTCCGCACCGCCCTCCAGAGAGGTAAATTGCTTTCACCTGGCACTGCACACAGCCATGACGGTGGCGACGGCGCGCAGCCCACCACCCTAACCAGCACACTTACTCGTGGGGCTTCTCAGCGTATGAGTTCACAACGCACTCGAGCGTCTTGAAGCGCTGATCTTCCGCCGGTACGCACTCCAGCATGAGCTTGCAGACGAGCGCCCGCAAGTGGTCGCGCAGCCGCGCGGCGTTGCATTTGTGGAACCAGTTCTTCTGCAGCAGCGTGGCTGCGTTGGCCGCATCCGACCGGGGGTCCAGGGCGTGCACGTCTGCATCCGCAAGCAGGTTTGCAAGCGCCGCAGGCCTCTTGAGTAATAAAGGGTAAAACCGCTTACAGACTCGCGGAAGGGACCGCGGCTGACACGTCTCAAGAGAGAGACTGAGGAAGCGCGCGGTTACCTGTGCGTACGAACACTTTTTGGTCGCAATGAACAAGGAAAGTGGCGGTGTTGGCGCGGAGTAGCGGAGAATATGCAGACACAGGTGCTGGAAAGAAGCCAGTCACGACACTTGATGCAAGGGGAACGGGTCTTAAAACCCAAGGGGTAACAGCACCGGTTTGGTATTGCTAACGCCACACATGTAGGCATATCGTCAGTCCTGATTATATGGCCATCACGTGAAACGAGTTTCCTAACAGGGGCCAGGGAGCTGGGAAACGCCGGCACCAGGTAATTACCAAACCAGGGGAACCATGCGCCGCCAGGGACTGCAGGCCGCCCTGCAACTGTGCGGTTGCGCCTAGAGTACTGCCGCCCTCTTTGCAGGGTAATGGACATAAATAGGATTTTTGAGGTGAGTTCAGGAGCTCAGGATGACGACTACGGAAATCGGAATCCCTGCCGGCGCACTTCGATGCACCTACTCTGAGCGTTGCTTCCCTCGCTGACGATGCATCGGGGGTTGGCGGCCACGAAGAAGTCGACGTAAGACAGCAGGAACAGGCCGCAATCCGTATGGTTGTCCTGCTTCGGCAGCCGGGCCGCCATGCTGAGGCCCGGCAGCGTCTGCAGCGTGAAACGCACTTCCGGCACATCCCGGCCAGCAGCCAGGAACCGTGCCTTCCACCGCCGCGGAACCGAATCCTGCGTCTCGTCCTCCATATTCCTCCGCCACTCGTGCTCCAAATAGCTGCGCAGCGCCTCGAAGATAGCCTTCGGAGCGTGGTTGCCTGCGTAGTGCGCATAAAGGGATGACAGTGTTGAATAAGTAAACGGGATAAAGGGGACTCAGCTTTTTTTCAGGCTGATACACGTGGCATAACGGAAGCGGGAAGCGGTGTTGATGAAGCACCTCTGTTAAAGGCCCGGCTCCCTGCTGACCGATATATTGCTACAATAGCTGTTAAGTGAGCCATTCCACTCTCAAAAGCTGGGAATTCTTTTTTATCATGATCCAAATGTGCAACACTTCATCACATGAAACGGTTTTAGAGTCCAATCAGACCCGTCCCCAACACCGGCTTCAGCTGACCGTGGTGGCAAATATCGCCAGGCGCCCCAAACTACTTCATTGTCACATAGCACCACACGACCCCGCGTGTGTGCTTTTTGTGTGTGTGTGTGTGTGTTGTTCGCGCCAAGTGCCTTACCGTCCAGCGAGTCCAGGTGCAGCAGCAGCGGCGTGCCGGCGCCCCCCCCTTCATCCCGGGAGCCCTCCGGACCCCCCTCAGGTGGCCGCAGGTGATCCGCCTGCTGCACCACGTTGCCCGGGTGGCAGATCAGCACCAACGACCAGTGCAGGGTGCCGTGGATGGGCACGAAGATGAAGTCCTTGGAGAACAGGTCCACGTGCTGGTGTTAAAAGTCAATCGCCGGTGTGGAGTTGAGAGGGGCAACGGGAGCCAAGCAGGATGAGCGGGACGCGAACACGGTGTTTAACTGCCGTTGTGCAGTAGTAGTAGTAGTTTCATTAGGACGTTAGGGAGGGGATGACGACTGACCCCTCTTCGGGTTCCCTTCATCCTCTAAGGTTCTTCTTCGTCATCCTCCAAAGGTCTGTGTCCCCTTCGAACGGGGGACCAGAAGTAAGAACGACAGGCACGGCACGCCACGCCACGGGTATCTTCCAGCGGGAATGTGGCTCGGCGCATTAATGAATGGAGCACAGGGGCTTCACAAGGGCATGGGAGTCGCGGGAAAGGGTTATTCCTATTCCCCTTCTCTGCACATATAGAAACACATTCAGAGAGATCCGCATCAGCGTCATGTCACACCAACCAGCTTTGCGGGCCTGCAGACGCCGAACCATTTGATTAACACGGAGCTGTGCTACAAACCCACCCGGTTGGCGCACTTGGTTGGGTACCTTTGCGTTAGTGGCCAGATGCACTCCTTGGCACAACTGCAGCCCACGAGAGCTGTTGAGTGTGAACAGCTAGTACCCTAGACCCAACTACTTGGTATCGTTACCTTGGTCCACTTTTTAACACGCTCGTGGTCCAGCTTCAAGCGCTCAGCCTTGGACAGCTTCACGCCCTTGGCCGGCTTCTCCTGTAACTTCTTGAGGAAGAACGAGTTAAAGAAGTGGTACCGCCGCCGAATTTCGGTTTGCAGGTGAGCTTCAATGTACCTGCAAGGCATCATGACGGTGCGCACGTGTGTATGACAAGCAGAGTGAGAACGGGCACAGCTCCATAAAACAACCCACTGTGGGACGGTAGCAGCACAGCAGCACAGCAGCACAACAGCACATCAGTGTATTGATGCGCTGACCTGCAGGACCGAGGGCTCTGCTGTCATCATCCCGCCATGACGCCAACAACAGCCCGCCACGGCCCACATTTGCTACGGCGCTTGCCAGTGCCTGATACCCTGATATTCCTGTTGTGTGGCTGCTCTGAGTCCGATTAGGTACTACTCACTCGCTCGTTACCCAAACCCAACGGATGACTGACTTTCCGTGAGCGGCCTAACGGCCCAACCACCCTGGACCCCATGGAACGGCTACCGCACTCACTTCAAGTAAAAGTCAATGCAGGTGTCGTTCAAGAACTCGCCACTGTCCAGCCGTGCCAAGTCCTCCGCGAACACCTGCACGCTGTGCTTGCCGCCTTCTTTCGGAAAGCAGCACTTGAGCCCGGCTACCTGGGCTGATAGCTTGTCGAACTTGTTCTTCTGGCCGCGTCCGGACAGCCCCGTTGCTGCGGCTGTCGATGCTGCTGCTGCTGCTGCTGCTGAGGACGGACCGGGGCCTGCCTCGCTACCGGTCTTGACGCGCTGGGCAGCATCCGCGTTAGCACCACCGTCGTCATCGCTGCTGTCCACCAGGTCAATCTGCATGGAAGAAAAGGAACGAGCAAAAGACGAGCGCAGCAAAGATGTGTTTTGCAAAGTCAATGCCAGGTGCAACGCGGTTCTTTGCACCTTGCGCCGCCTAAAAAAATTGGATCCATGTGGACAAATATAAAGCTGGGCAAGCCACATGCGGCAGAATGACACCTTCGTTGCCCCAGGAACTTCAAACGCGACATCAGCGCACCTTTCAATGTTAACCTATGGATTGCAAACCCAGGGCATATGCCTTCAAGCCAGCTCGGGTTCAAGAAAGCACAGGGTTCAAACTTGTCAGCCATAAAATGCCGACCCAATCCGGTGTTACCCGATGGGAACACAACTCCCATAAGAGGCTTTTAACGGACGGCCCTGCGCCAGTAACACTCCCACCTGCATCTTGTCTTCAGGCTCGACTGGCGCCGAGCGCCGGCCGCGCGCCTTCGCAGCGCCTGCTGTCCGCCTCCCCAACTGCGAGGGCTCCTCGTCCGCAGCGTCTGAAACCGAACGCCTGAAGACAGGCTGCTGCTGTTGCTGCTGCTGCTGCTGTTGCTGCTGCTGCTGCTGCTGCTGCAGGAGTAGTAGCTGCTGGCCGCGTCTCGTCCTGCTGGCCGCCTGCTGCTCCTCCTGCGCTGCGGCTGCGGCTGCCGGCACAACCGCCGCACTGACAATTGGCGCTCTCAAATCAAGACCGCGACCACCGGTGTTGCCGCCATCGCCGGACCCGTAGAAAGAGCTTTGTTGCATAGGCCGCGGGTTGGCCAACCGGTTGAAAGACGGACCAGCAGTAGATAACCCCCGCAGTGGCTGATGTTTGAGCGTGGGCGCCTGCACCAGTACACACATGGGTCGCAGTATGGGGGGTAAGCCGCAGCCGCAGCCGCAGCCACAGCCACAGCCACAGCCAGGGTTACATAGGCCCTGCGTTGGTGAGTAATGCCTGCTCAAGGCACGAAGGGTCAGCACTTGCCGAAAGGCCCTACCTACTTGGCCTTGGTGCCTACATAATCGGAAGATCGAACAGTCCGAGAGCCCCGACATGGCGACAGCCGCCACGGCCAGTGATATTACCTCCCAGCGGGATTCCTACCTGCATATGCATAGAGGCCGCCTGGCCGGTCTGGGCAACCTGGCGGCATTGCTGGCACGTCAGGTTGTCCTACAACGCAGATGGGAGACGCACGCAGAGGTAAATGGCAAAATGGCCGACGAAACGCCGTATGCTATTCATTACACGGCAACACGTGGCATAGTCATCACCAGGCTTACCCCGGGGCGCATGGGGCCAATTAAGGTAATGGGCTTGTTGCAGAAACTGCATTTCCTGCGTACACCGTGCACGTTGGTTTAGTAAGCTTTTTTTGCTTAGAAAGGCCGTCCCGAGTAGTCTCACGCAAGTCGTGTAATTCTCACCGCGGCTGCTGTTGCCCATGGCCGCGAGCCGCAGTCGCGGGCTGGCCTGGCCCTGCACCATATTTGTCCGGGCACGGAGAGTCAGCTGCTACTGCTGGCACCATCACAACGTGTCTGTGAGGACATTTGGTGCCATGTGTGCGCAGCAGTAATAACCTAATGTGCAAGAGCGCAATACTCATGCTTTGAGTGCTGCAGCAGCAGCAGCAGCAGCAGCAGCAGCAGCACGAAGGCCGCACTGCTAGCCCACTTGAAGGGGGTTTACCTACCTGCAGCCACCTGCACTGCCGCCCGCGTGCTGACGTTTTGGAGTGAAGGCTGTTGGCTGGACCCTGAAATAGACACCACATGGTTGCATTTCCGTAAGGCCGTGAAGGATCTAACCGAAGAGACCCTACGGTAACCCAACAAGCAAACGTGCAAACAAGTCCGGCTTACTCAGATGCCGCTGCAGGTGCCGTGCACCAATGGTGTTTCCCTGGGGGTGGGAGGGAAATGGGGACAGATTCGTTATGATAATTGAGTATGGGGGGTTGAGAAATCACGTCATTCCACTTCACGCACGCACCCCCCCACCTGTACCGGGCGCGTGAGTTGCGGGACGTGAGCCTGGATGTGCGGCTGCTGAGATACAGGCACGGCAGCAGCGTCTGCCGTGTACCCATGGCCTGTATCCTGGGTCTCCTTGACCTGCACAGTTTGTTGGGACAGCTTGAGGTAGGGGCATGAACCGCTGCCTCCCGCCGGCGAGGCCGGGTTTGCTCACCAGGGGCCCATCCAGTTGCCGCCACCGTAGCTCTACCGCAAGAGGCCTGAGCTGGGCTTCTAGTCTACTTGGATCACCAGTAAATTTTTTATAAGTCGAGGTCAAAGCGTTGAGTCTTTTCTCAAGTTCGGCTTGCGAAAACTCCGGAAAACACCGCTCGGTCGGCAAATCATCTCGAGCCGACTTAAGAATCGCCTCTACGAAAGGTGGGTACTGTTGTTTCCTAATAGTATCCGTTGTGCTGCTCGGCTGGAGAGCCATTTTCCAAAGCCGAAGCCGCAGATAGGTCCGTCCGGTACCCTTTGCACATGCTATGAAATGGTAATATGAACAGTAGTTCAGACTGCCCAAAGATAAGGTCCATGGACAGGCAGAGAGGGGGGCACCAATGATGCCCGAACGACTGAATTGCCTGAATGCATAAGGGCACCTAGAAGTATGATTGGTTGCACGATTCGGCTCATCACCTGCGCCTCAGCTTGGTTCAAAAGTAATCAGTGAAAGGCACAACACACTGCGGCAGCCATCATCCGTGAAAAAAGAATTTAACAAACTAATGGAAATTGTGCTATTAAGTCTTGCATTCGATGAGCGCTTTCTGCCATGCGCCATGCTTCGCGTGCTTCGCTTCCACAGCTCGTACGGCACCATCAGATGCGGACTTGCCTGTATGTGCGCTGGAGCAGGGCAAGCAGGGTTTGCATCACAACTGCCAACCTATATGACAGGCTTACCATACATATTGAAATCTGGCATACCCAAAGCAAATGAAGATGTCTTGGAGCCTGGGGCGGTTCTGAACAGATTCATCGGTATATAACAGACAGTGTGCCCTCTAGTCACCATAATATTCGCGCCTCACGGAAGTAACTTCAACCTGGCGTTCTCCTTTTTGTTTCCATGAGACTGAGCACATGGAGCTGCGTGACAGCCAAGCCAGACATCGCACCATAACAGGATGTAATGTGGCTTCCTTCGGAGATTAAATTATCGTGCCATATGTGAAAGGGATTGGACCGCTCTTTAACAGTTTGGAAGTTGAAGCTGACTCTAGTTGCCATGACAAATTTCTTCAAGTTCAACGTGGACTTACATAGTTCACAAAATTTTCAGCTTGAATAGTCATGCCATGCTATAACGTCATTGATTTGCAAAGAGGCGTATCATCAAAACACAGCACCGTCCTCTGTGCGAACAAACACAAAGCACCTAGTTGTGCGCCTCTCCCATTCCCTGCACGAAATCGGTACCAGGCTAACGTGGAGACAGGGAAAGGGATCCAAGGAGTCAAGGCAAAACCTTCCCGGCACTGGATACCGGCCTACGTGTGGCGCACGATACCTATTCCTTCCTATCTAAGGAACCGGATATACACCCGAACCCTTCAAGCTCAAACCCCCACGCCATACGTGCCCAAAACCCAAACCCAAGAGGCACACTGAACACAATGCAGACAAATCCGAGCCCGAACAGGACGCCAGTACTCTATTAACTCTTCACTGAACTGGAACCTGAACCCGACATAAATAAAAAACACACGTAGACATATACGGCACAGGCACCATCGGCAGGTGGCTGGCAGAGGTTAAGGCCTGACTTCTGCTCCCAGAGAATCCGTGTTCAAATCCGTCTGCCGACCCCTCGGATGAGGATCATGACCGACCGTTACTGTAGTTCGCTTGTTGCACCTGAGGCAGACGGACGTTTTACAGTCATATGTCGGTGCTGTCATATGGAGGAGGTTCCTGCATGGCTGTTGCTGTGGGTAGTGATGGTGGGCGGCCAGGGAAAAGTGCTGTTGGTCGTTGTCATTACACGGGGGGTGAGGGAGGAGGAGGCTGATATGGAAGACGACGGGGCGGATGCAGCCGAGGGAGGCTGGGAGGTCGAGACATACACAGTATGTGACAGGCGGCTGCCAACCACTCACTGCTTTTTTGAAGCCCAAACACATGTGGCAAAATGAACACAGAGCCGATTTGCCCAAGCGGTGCGATCCACATCCTCGGTGATGGAGTTGAAGCGGGGGCCTTGCCGTGATGGCTGTGCTGTGTTGACCGGCAGAGCCATGAAACAGGGAGAGGGAGCAGCCGGTCGGGACCCGGTGGAGTCCTGGATTGGATTGCTTTCACAGCGCAGCAGCGGCAGCAGCCAGTTCAGAGAGTCGTCATCATCATCATCATCGTCATCGTCCTCTCTCATGGCGCCCACCACCACCCTGCCCCCCTCTGAGGTCGAAAGTCCGCCATCTCCGCAGTCTCCGCAGCCTCCCCACCAACCACCCTACATTGCTCCCGACCTTTGTCCCATCCATATCGACCGAGCTGTACCGGGCCCCCATGGCATCAAGATGATCGGCGTCCCTTACAGTTTGCACATGCAGCGTATGGCACACCACTTCTGCCGGCACTATGCGGTGATGGACTCACACATGAAGGAGCACTGCCACACTATACTCTGCTGCGTCCTCCATGGCCCCGCCGCCGCTTGGCCCCTAACGTCATATCCTTTCAGAGGACGCAACAGCCGCTGCTGCCAGCCCTCCTCCCGTTCACCCTCCCCAGCTCCTCTGCCACTGCTATTCCGACGACCGACCACCGCTAGCTCCGAAATCACGACAAATTACGCGACAAGCTCCAACAAAGATCGTCAACCGCTCCAAAACACTGCACTATGCATCGTGCAAATTACGAGCCCGATTATAAACTAGGAGCTCATTATTTGCAGTTTGCCTGAAGGAAAGTGTCACAACTGACAAAAAGGCAGACTGGCTAGCAAAGTCGGTCACCAATTGAAATCAGCAGTGAATCACCTCGCACTCGCAACTCGCACACTGCGCGGCTAAGGGTCACTAAAAGATATCGTTGTCTTTCTCCTGCACCGTCAGCGCCCACATCACCACCGTTACGTGGTTTACATAAACTGGACATCTGCGCTGGTAAACATCTTTCCCTCGTTACAAGCCCAACCAAACCCCGCACGCGCATCCCGAAGATAAAAAGCTCTCTCACCCCTTGCCACCTAACCCTCACCTCCCTAGCAGCTCCAGCTCTCTATTCGCAGCGTCACGCGCAAAGCCGGCTCTCTCCAGCTCCACCTACCCACACCCAACAGGTGACTCCTTCCCTATATTGACATATGGTCGTTTTCCGTCGGCCTCATCTGGTCAGGCGCCCTATCCGTTTGGGCAAGCGCAGCAGCAGCAGCAGCAACAGCAGCAGTAGCAGCAGCAACAGCAGCAGTAGCAGCAGCAACAGCAGCAGCAGCAGCAGTAGCAGCTCCTTCCGAAGACGCTCAGGAAACCGCGAGCTTTCAAGTCACGGCGCGGATGCTGATGTTGATGCGGGCGCTGCGGATGTAGCCCTGGATGAAGTCCACGCCGTCAAAGGTTCCCCCCTGTCCATCCCAGCAGCCTTCCTGCGCGCGGAAGCCGCCACTGCCGTTGCAACAGCCGCCGCCGTCACCATCATCACCGCCACAGCCACCGACATTTACGCGGGGGTAATTTGCCTCCAGGATGCGCGGCACACCTGCACATGTGTGCATGTGTAGAAGGAGGTGTAGAAGGAGGGAGGGAGGGAGGGTTTTGCGCAAGCGCGAACATTTACATTGAACAAACACACAGACACACACAGACGCACACAGACACACACATACCAGATTGAACACATCTCACCATGAGTCTCGACGTAAGTGCTCTCGCGGTACACAGCGGTACACAGCTGTCCAACTTCCTCTAAAAAGGAATGCAATTATCCAAAGGCGTAGCCGTCACCCGGACGCTACGTCGCAGATGGGCACCGTTTGCAGCAGCTCTGTATACAAACGACCTGATAACCCCCGTGCGGAGTCCAATCTCGCCCTCTCGCTAGTTCATCTTCCCTTCTCCCCCTCCCGAACCCCCCTCTCATCCATCCGCCTCAACTCAATACAAACATACAGACAACAATACATGGCAGGCGAGTGGCAGAGGTTAAGGCCTGGCTTCTGCTCCCGGCGCGTCCGGGTTCAAATCCGCCTGCCGACCTCTCGGGGTGTTTGAGAGGTGATGAAATCGGAGGTGGCCCCCCATCTTGTGGACGGTGTAGGACGTGATAAAATCAACTTGCGAGCTGACCAGGAACTAAGTTGACGCGCCGTTGATCCGCTAGATTTGGTTGGATGCCGGTGGTGAGTTGCCAAACTTAAAGAGTACATTCTGAAGTCGGATGGGGTGAATGGATTAGGGTGCCCCTCTAGCAGGGGAGAGCAGGGAACTGCTTCCAAGGGAAGGACGCCACTGGTGAAGCTTAACCACCCTGTAACAACATCAACAATACAAACCACACAAAAGAACACACGCACACGCACGTTGCACATCTCCCCTCTCTTCCTCTCCGCCTACGTTCCCTTCCCCCATAAAAACCCCTGACCCCCGCGCGTACATCCACTGTGACAGTACGACACGATAATTGACCCCCTCCGAAGCTCCGACCAAACGCCGCACCGTGATAGCATGTCCGTGCGTCCCCCGCCAGCACCAGCACATCCCCGCCTCGCAGCAGCAGGGCGGATGGGGCCACGTGCTTGGTGCGGCCCCCCATGAGAAAGATGGCGGGGCAGCCGAGACTCACACTGACGATTGGCTGTGCCATGTCGCGTTCCACATCGTCCAGGTGACCCCCTAACACGTCACCTTGAAGGGGGGAAGGAGAGAAAGGGGGGAGGAGGGGAGGAGGAATTAGTAATCCGAAAAATGCAAAACAATCAATTCCACAGGTGATGGTGATGGTAATGGCGATGATGGTGGTGGTAGTGGTGGTGATGGCGGTGGTGATGGTGATGATGATGGCAGCAATGCTAATAATTGTCAAGGGAGGTTTTCGTCAAGTTGTGGAGTCACGAGGAGGGTTACACAAGCAAATGCAAAAACACACACAAGAGGTTTGCAAACAAATACCCAAGACACGGTTTTACCGCACCTTGCTGATAGTAGTTGACGATGGCAGCGTCAGGTCTGTAGCCTCCACAGGCCGCTGTGCGCCACAGATGAAAACACACACACAAACATACAGACATACACGGTATCGACGAGTCCCAGATCCAACGCAGACCCATGGGTCAGTTTACAGCGGGGTGAGCAAGTGGGCCAAGACGGGAGACCCCGGGAGTGGGGGAAGGATTTGGCGGATGGGTGAAGGAATAAGGGGTGGGAGGGAAAACACATGATGATTGGTGAGAACAAAAGTAGTTATCGAAGCGTCCGAGGGGAAAAAGGGGAGGACGAGTAAAGCTGAAAGGGGAGGGGGAACGGAAGGGGAGGGGGAACGTCGTGTGGGAGAGGGCAACGTGCAGCGGGGTCACCAAGAAGGGGCCAACCAACAGCTGGTCGCACCCCACCCCACCCCACCAGGACGGTAGGGTAGGGTAGGGTAGGGCGGCGTACGGGAAGGAGCTTCTAGATGCGGACTGCACGTGCTGTGGCTCCTGCTGCTCCTAGCTCGGGAACAAGGAGACTGATGAGGACCGCAGCGGATCTGTCTGTCTGTCTGTCTATGTGTCTGCAACCTGTGCGTCTGTCTGTCTGTCTGTCAAGTGGTCAGGCAGCAGCCTGAATACACCAATCAGTTCATGAACCAGCGGACCACGCAGCTATTTGCGGTAACGGTCTAACCGACTAACGGCCCAACCGACTAACAAACTAATTAACGTATATGGCAAACCCAGATTCGTGTATGTCGCTTATTCCTCCCAATTGAAGGCCCCTCGGCTCAAAACCCAAACAACCGCAGCCACCCAATCCACCGTTATGCCGGACTGCAGTCCTCCACAGTCACAAACACACCACATTTAACGTCTGAAACACTGTCGACCCGCTTTACTAAACTATACCCTCCACCTCCCCACACACACACACACACATACACAACTTCAACTCTAATAAACTATAACATTTTTATATACTATATTTTCGTCTTTCTTGGAGCTTTACTTACCCCGCACGGAAGCTGTGCCTCCTGTGTTTTTTTCCTCAATTACCCATTCCCGCATCGTACGCCATTGCCGTACACCGGCATCCGTACCCCTTTTAAACCGGGTTGCCTTACTCATCATCATGATCCCAAGACACACAAGAACCCCACAGCTCTCCCCAGACCCTCAAAACCTGGCGCACACGCGCACACACGCACACGCGCACCGACTCGACCCCGACCCACCTCACCTGCGGCCGGCAACACCCTCAGCCCAGCGCCCTCAAGTCCGTCCACGACCGCTGCCAACTGTTTGGCTAGAGCCTCCAGGGAGGGCGGCAGCCTCCTGCGGCCCAGCGAAGGCAGGCACACGACAGGACGAAACCATGATGCCGGAGATCTCCATACGACTGTACCCTCCCCCTCATACCCACACGCGCTCCAAGTGCTCAGCCACAAAAGGCGCAAGGGGGCGACGAAACGCACAGGAAAAACACACACGCACAAGCATACGCACATCGGACTAAAACTCGCCGCATGCCGCCGTTACACTCGCCCAATCCCGTACTGGTTGCCACGAGCCGCCCGTACATTACCTGTACACGCTTTCAAAGTCGTACTGCCGTTGCGTCCAGTCGAATTGCGGCCCCAGCGTTGCCCAACGCAGCTTATGTAGCAGCGTCGAGGCGGGTGGTCCTGGGCCAGCCGGACTCCAACATTCCTCATATGACGGCGACGCCGATGCCTCCGCCCCCCTCGCGTCGCAACAGTCGCGTCCGCCGCCACTGCTGCTCCTGTGGCTGCGTCCGCCGCCGCCGTCGCTTGAGCCTCGACGACTGCTATCACTGCTGCTACAGCCGAAACCGCCCTCGTCGTCATCGTCCACAATGTGGGAACTGCTACAGCTCTGTTCGCAGCAGCTTCCTTCCGGCACGGTGGCAGATGATGCTGGTAATGGTGGCGCTGCTACTGCGCCTAGCCCGCCGTCGGTGCATTCCTTCACCTCCCCCCCTGTTGCTACTGCTACTGCTGCTGCTGCGCATCCACCAGAATCCTTTCGTTGGCTTTGCAGAGGGCCCCCCGCTGTGGCTGCGAGAAGAAATTGAACGACGTTTTACGATGATGTAAAAAGTCCGGGGGTGGGGAAAGAGAGAGGAGGCAAAGTGGAAAAGGGGGAAGCGGGAGGATGGGGCAATTTGAAGCCGGAACCATGTTGACTAAAGGTCAGGCTGTTCCCCCATCCCTCACCCCCACCATTACCATTATAATCCATTATCATCATCATCCATTATCATCATCATCCATTATCATCATCATCATCATCATCACCACCACCACCACCACCATTAATCATTACCACCAAAGCCAGGTCCGAGCTGCGAGGTGGTTCATGTGGTCGAGATCGCAACCTGCCTGCTGCTGTCAGACTGGCCGATGGCGCCATGTCCGGCCCCAGAAAGCACCCGCATCACAGGCAACACCCATCGCTCCCAGACCTTCCCCCAAACTCCGCCCAAAACACTACCGCTGATTTTCTTCGCCATTACACCTTCCTCACCACCATGTGGGTCATCCTTGCGGCCCCAGTTGAGTCTTAGGCCCTGGCGCGCAGCCCGCCATAGACCCGTCAGCGGGCCGTACTGCAGGTCATGGTTGGTGTGTGCGGGGGGCTCCGGATAGTCCATGAGGGCTGCTGCGATGAGTTCGAACTGCTGGGGCGCTGGTAGGGCTCCGGGCATGTAGACCAGACCTATCTCTCAGGTGGAAAGGAGAGGGGAGCTGTAGTCAGGCCAAAGAAGGATGGATGGAAGGAAGAAGGTTATATTCTGAGGGGATGTTTGAGATGGTTATATCTGGGTTGTTTGGGATGTTTGGCATAGCTTTCCTCTTCGTTCGCGGGTCGGAGGACGGACCTGGGTGGCGCTCAAAGGTGTAGACTGGGCCATCGTAATTAGGCACGTGGTGGCGGAAGACTTCTGGGGGAAGAGGAGCTTTTGGACCTAAGTGAAGGTCCAGAACATCACTCGTGTCGATTGGACGTATCACGAGCTTGCCCGGCTTCGGCTTCCCATGCCTGCGCGTGGTCGTCGGTGTTATGACGAGGCCTGTGGCGTGGCAGGGGACCGCCCTACGCATATTCTGACTCACTTCATCTTGACTTTCCTTTCCCTAAAGAGCTGATACTTCTTCTCAGCTTCCCTGTAAGCTGTTCGCAATAGAGCACCGTCGTCCTCGCCGTCAGCTCCACCGTATTGCATTTTTGCAAAGAAATTTGATGTTTCACAGGTTATAAGAATGCCTGCCGGTCACTGTCACCGCGTTTTAGTCGCGAAGCTCGTTCGTGTTATCACGTTATATAGCCATGAGTTTATGGGTAATAGCTATATGCGTAAAATTACGGCGTCATCTGATGACCTGGCCCCAAAAGAACCATACGAAAATGGATAGAGAAACAGGTAGGTGTTGGCGGGAATGAGGATGCGTGAAAAAACAGCATACGGCCCATCCGACAGGGTAGAGCACCGCAATCCAGGTATGAGTAATCGGTATTCGGTGATGGGGGGCAGGAGAGGAGGCTTATGTGGTGGTGTACGAATAAGCCATGCAGTAATGTGACAGGGGCCGTCGAAAAGCCTTCGCCCTGATGTGCAAATTCGAGCAGAACCGCATCTGGATGCCACAGATCTTATGCTACGGAGTTTTTATGTCCAGGTTAGTCATCTGCTGTCGTAGTGGGCGGAGATTCGGGGCCCGAATGCCAACAGGCAGGGAGGTCTTAAGGACCAGCTGCTGTTGACAAACGGGTCAGGCAACGCTGCTGGAACCACAGGGGAGGTACGTAGTGGGCCAACATGAGACATTGCTGCGTTGTTGAGCAGAGAGGGGGAAAGTGGGTTCGTAGCACAAAGCGGACAGCAGGCATATTCGAAAGCGCCATGGCAGACCCAATTGAAAGGTTCCTGTTCATGTTGCCTAATATGCGGAGGGGGCTGAGGCGAGTGTCCCGTGGTGCATGTGCACACTTTTCTCTGGTCGCAGCTTTACGGATACATTAGCGGGATGTAGGGGGACACGTGTGTTTTATGGCCTGTACGGCAGGTACAACAACTGTAACATCTCTTGTTGAACTAATGTGAGCTGCAAAGTGGAAAGGCCGGCTATACGAGTGTGGCGATGTTGGGGGGCACGACGCGCAGTGTGGCTATCGTTACATATCTTCGGTCATAGGCTGGGGATTGGAACGCCTGCTAATTCTTTTCCCTTCACCCCCCGGCGGTCGGAACTTGGCCCAATAGTGGCTGACTGATGCGACTCCGCCGGTCGAAAAGGTGGAGAAACTTGAAAGGATGGCTCGGCAGCCTTCCTAGCTACGCGCTGTTTTCTCTTGGCCAAGTAGGCGGTACGTCTGTTTGCTCTCGCAGATGCGAGATTTCAGGGAAAATTTAGGCACAGAAATTTAGCTGAAAGGACCCATAGTTGCGGAAAAAAAAAACATGGAAGCTTCCTGAATTTCCTGGAAGTCTTTTCTAGGTTCCCTCGACTCAACTTCTGCTCGTTTCGTCACTTTTGCTCCCCCTGCTCGGCCTGCCTTGTTTCGTAAAGTGCACTTCGCATACAGCTTGGCAGGCTCTGTCCCCCGGTTTGTTCATGAGAGTAAGAGTACGCCACACAGCAAGGAAGCGATGAGTCCTCTTACACCGAAATGCACGGCAGGATCACGCAGCGACTGAGACCGCGCGTCACAATGGCGAAGGCCACCTGCTCCCACGTCACTCCCACGTAACGGCTACAACAGCATATTCCGTTGGCACTAGGTCGCAGGCCCACGCCCGGGGTGAAGTCCATTCCCCCTTACCTGGCTGACTGGCTCTGACAAATCAGCCGCACTAACGAACAACCGAGCTTTGTTCCTCTCCCCCTGCTCTCTGCATTGGCAGGAGTATATCCTCCTACGTGACATTAATGATCAATATGGGGCACGATAACCCGCATGCATACGTACATACATACATACAAATACATACATACGCATGCTCCGACAGATGATGGACGGTGCCATCTCGTCGCCTGCCAGCTCTCCCCCTGCCCTATATCTTGTCCTGTGACACTCGTTTCGACTTTATGTAGGTCACTTGCGGGTTGGTGTAATAATAAATGCCTTCTATTTGTTCACTCCGGATAGGCGCTCTTCTGTTCATGCAGCCACCGCAACGTGGCCGTCCGCTAGTGAATGGTAATACTCCTAGCACTTAGCCTGCCTGGCGTACAGCCGTAACGACGGCCAAGCACAGCTGCGGCCATTTGACTCCCCCCACCAACTCCCCCAGCTCGCAGCCTCCTGCCCATGCGACAGCCTCCGATGGGGATCCACCCGCAACCCCGCCAACCAGCCAGCCAGGCACTCCCTTTACCTGCCCTGCCCTGTAAGGCCTCCTGCCCCGCGCCTACAAACAACCTCTCCCGGCCGTAAGGTGTTCCCAATTTCGTCTTTGATTTCCCACCCAGCCTCCTCCCCAGCCGCGACCTGGCAGCCGTTAACCAGGAACCCGTGAGGTTGGATGATAATCGACCAATCGAGTCACAGGAATGTCTGTCTGGCTGTCTGTCTATCTATCTATCTATCTATCCAATAATCTGGCAAAGAGGGGTGTGCTGTTAGCGGCACGACCACAGCCGCAGCAGCCGCGGCTGCTGCAGCCTCGAGTGGTCTGGAAACGGCTTTGTAATTCGTCCCGCCGTCCAGCAGGGCTAAAGACATGGCCGCACCCACACTACTCCTTACCCCTCAGCACTGCCAGCCCGGAACAGCCTAAAGCTAAACCAGCCCCAACTACTTAAAACAACGCGCGTACAACGAACTACTCTTGGGGACCAAAATACTTGTTCGTCCACGTGCCGTACAGGCCGTGCGGTAGCGGGCTCGGCAGTGCCAGCCGCGCTACGGGCCCCGCCATCATCGCCCACGTGTCAAACACCAGCAGCTCGCTGCGCCGGGTGTTGGAGTCGAACCCGTAGACCAGCAGCCTGCAAGCACGCGCGGCAACCAAAGATACCGGCAATAATAGGTTGAAAATCAGAGCCAGCCCTACCAGTACAAAGAACGTGGAAAGTTCGGCGCCAAGCCCGTCACAACATCCTGAGGTCATTCAAAATTTTGGTTGCACGGATTCAAATCCAGCTGCGGCAAGATGAAGAGATTACCGGCTCGCGCGCGCCCGGGAGCATTTTGGCGGTGCAGCGGCGTCGGCGTCGGCAGCAGCCGCCACCACAGCGCCTACGGTGCTTATGTGTGTCAACCCATGCGGGTTCTCCGTCGTGTCGGTCCCAGGATCCCTCCGCCAGCCTGCCTGCTTCCTCTTCCTCTTCCTCCCACGCACACAGCAACCCTCCCGCTTTTCCCAGCCCAGCTCGACCAGCGAGAACACCTCCTCACCCTCCATGCTATCCAACCTCCCATAACACATACGCACAAATGGTCGGCACATACCTACATACCTACAGCTCAGCTCATTACATATGCATACATACATACATACATACATGCATACATGCATACATACATACATACACGCACACCGGCCCAAGTTACCCGGTACTCCCTCCTAGTCTGCAAAGAGCCAAGCGCACACACACGACGTGTCGCATCTCCACACCACACCACACCACACCACACCACACCACACCACACCACACCACACCACACCACACCACACCACACCACACGAGACCCACATCTGTCAAGGAATACCCACCGAAAGTGGATTGGGGCCACATCCGCATTACGCCCCCCCACCCTTCCCCCCCTTCCCCACCAACACCCGGGGACCCATCCCTCACCAGCCATCATCCTCGCTGCGTTGTCGGCCGCCCGCTCCCGCTCCCGCTGGCGCTGCTGCTGCTGCTGTTGGCGCTGCTGCTACTGAGGCCCCCAGGCCGCCACCGCCACCGCCACCAGCCGCAGCGCCGTCCCGCGGCACGAAGCAGGGCTCCAGGCAGATGTACCCCGGGCCCCCCGACCAGCGCTGCAGCTGCGGAGTCTCCAAATCCGCCTTCACCAAACCCGAGGTGCCGTCCTCGAATACCACACTGGATCGGGCGGGGTGGGGTGAGGTGAGGTGGGGTGAGCACCGGGAGGTGTAAGGGGTAATGAGGAAAGGGGTCTAGTGGTGCAGCGGTCGCTGGGGGGACGGTGAGGTAGGTGGTCCTGGTGTTGGGTCTGTAGGTATGTCATGCGCTCTGTCATGGGATGTCGTTCCCAGCTGGGTGACGGGTTGCATGACTGCACACAGCGGACACGGAGGAATGCACGGTGCGCTGTGCCGTACCGTACGGTGTCCTTATCAGTCCATCCACCTCCTCCCCCCCCCACACACACACCTCCCTAGTCGCACCGTACCTGCACCCGTACACGTAGCGGTATCTCCTGCCTGTGTAGGCGGTGTTGAAGGTGGGCAGTTCCAAATGACGGCCCGGGCCCGCAGTGGGGTCCAGGGGGTCCAGGGGGTCGCCGGGGACGGCACGACGGGTGATGGTGCCGGAGGGCAGGTCAATCACCAGCCTCTGAAGCCTGGGGCGGGCCCACCGCGGGGGGGGGGGGCGGAAAGGAAAAGTGTGATTTGGGGGGGAGGGAGGGAAGACGGACTTAGGGGTTCGTAGCGGGGAGAGAATGAGGGAGTGAAGTGCTGTAAGTAATCGTGGTGGTGGTGGTGGTGGTGGTGGTGGGGTGTCAAAGGCAGTGGTGAAGGAACACCCGACACGAAATGCACATACATATACACACATACATACACACATACATACACGAGCTCGCACATCCCCTCCCCGACACTGACCTGGGCCGGCACCCCGAGTCAGGATCCGGCGACCTGACCGCCTGCTCCGCCAGCGGCTGTGCACCCACCGCAGGCAGGCTGTCGTACGCCACGCTGTCAAGAACCAGCCGACCAGGGTACGACTCGTCCTCGAAGGCGTTCACGTGGTGCAGTACACACACAGCGGGGCGCAGGTGCAGCTGCACGGGTCGCTCGCCGCGCCTGGGGGGATTGTGTGTGTGTGATGGGGGGGAGGGGGGGAGGGGGGGAGGGGGGGGCTATATGTCGGCGCAACCCCGTCGCGAAGTGGTGGTTTGCACTCGTGTATGTTTGAATGCATGAACACCTTGACGGGATGTGGGTGGCCGGTGTGCGCGCGCGCGCGTGTGTGTGCCAGGGTTACGCGTGCACGTGTGTGTGTGTGTGTGTGAATCCTTAAAAGGTAACATTAACATGCAAATGCGCGCTATCCTGGGCGGGAATATCGCCCGCCTGCGTGACAGTCAGCACTCAGGAGGAGTCATACACACCAGTCAGGCACTTCAGGCGTGTGCATGCGCGTGTGCGTGTGCATGCGCGTGTATGTGTTTGAAATGAACTGAGCCGCGACCCTAAGTAGGCAGGTGCCGGCAGGTGCATGCGTGTGTTAATTTGATGATGATGATGATGATGACGATGGGGTGTTTCAAAGGACCCTTTCATCCCTCCTCCTCCTCGTCCTCCTCCTCCGACTTCTTCTCCTCCTCTGCACTTCACTGTCAAGTTGACCCAGGGGGGGTTGGAGTTCCTTGCCGCGGTGGGCGGCGGTGGGTGGTGGGTGGAGGGGAGGGCGGAGGAGAAAGAGGCAGCACGCACCAGACTAACGACAAACCCGGTGCACCCGGTGGTGAATCAGAGGCCATCCGAGTACCCGAGGGCTCATAGCGCAGCGGCGGGGGGGTGGGGTGGGGTGGGTGGGGTGGAACTGCCCCGTCAATGGCATGGCATGAATGTTGGGCTGTATGAAAGGACAGTGGCGGGGAATTAAACCATATGACCTGGCCTTGGAAGGAGCCTGGGCCGCCCTGGAGAGGGAACCCCCCCTCGAGCCGACTAGGAGCCCTGAGTGCCGCACTGCGTGACAGTTGTTCCGCAGTGGGTGGGTGTACGAGGGACGCCAAGTCGGTGACCCCCTGGAGCACCTGTCCGCCTCTGAGCCCGGTCTGGGTACGACATGCAGTACTGCCGGCTCCCCCTCCCGCCACTTCAGACAGCTGACGGGACCACAATCTCCCAGCAGGTACGGCAACACCTGGCAATGCAATGCAAGGTAAGGTAAGGCAGGGCAGATTTAATACCTCCACCAACACCACCACCACTGCACCACCAGCAGGTTATAAAAAAGGCAGTACCAACAACACCAACACCGACACCAACAACACCAGCAGCAGTACCAACACAGTCAGATCTCGAATCACGAATGGCAACTGGTAACCCCGGACAGTAGACGCACCCCCTGCAGGGGGGCCACCTACCGCCACCTACCGCCACACAAACACGGTCATACCACTCTCCCGAGCCGTCCCGAGTAGCCCCCTGCTACAGCACCGCTACCCCCCCCCCACCCCCGAACCTCCAACCCCGAGCCCCGTAAAGCCCCCCTATACCCATCCAGCCCTCCGCGTACCTCCGGGTGAACCGGCGGCTGCAGCAGCAGGTAGTAGTTGGGGGTGACGGCGACATCAAGTACCGTCGCCGCAGCGAAGCCCTTCATCCGGTACCGCAGACTCCGCCGCCGCCGCGGCGCCCGGTGAGAGCCCCGTAGCTGCCACAGCAGCTGCTGGTGCTGCCGCAGCTGCTGCGGCAACGTCGTGACAGAATCCGGAACCAAATCTCGGTCCGGATCCAGGCCCGGATCTAGATCGTCGTCGGGTTCCACCTCCCAAAATGCGAACTCCGTGTCGAACCGGTCTTGCTGCCGCCGTGCCAGCCAGCGCGCCGCCGTCCCCAGTAGCGCCAACGTGTCTGTACCCCCCTCTTCCTCCCTGACCTCTTGCCCTCCTCCTCCTCCTCCTCCTCTTCCTTGCCTCTTCCCACCGGCGCGTCGTTCTGTATGCGCTACATATTCACCGCCCTTCAGCTTCGCTGTCGCAGCCGCTGCCTGCGGCAGCGGCGCTGCCGCTGCCACCCCCGCAAGCAGCGTCTGATGTGACCAAAACACACGCCGACCAGTGACACTGCACGTACGCGGCCGGGCGCCGCACGCGTCACCGCCCAGTGCCGAATGTGCGGGCGGAAGCCGGTCGTTCGAGCCTAGCAGTCGCGTCACACGGCTCATGGCCCGGTCGGCGGCGGGACTGGCCAGAGACAACGGCACGCCAGGTGACAGAGCACCCCCCAGGCGGTCCTGTGACCCACGGGTCACGAGGGTGACTGGATCCAGGGCGTACGGCAGGCCGCCCTGCGTGGTGTACGAGCCGTACAGCCAGCCACGCAGGCACGGGCAGGAGGTGCCGCACATCCCGTAAGTAAGTAAGATCAGGTGGGGGGGCGGGGGGGGGGGTAAGGCGACCCACTGACGGGAAAGGGGGTTTTCGTGGGCATCTACAGCGGGTGACTAATTACTGGGTGGTGCAGGGACGGTGTGGTAGGAGACCAGCCGCACACCAAACGAGATCACGACGCATGGTGATCCAGACGGTAGCGGACATACATACAGCAGCACAGCACACACACAATACACCCCTCCTACCTACCTACCTACCGAAACCCCACCCCTATCCACGCACGAAACCCCCCCTTTTAAGCCCCCCTTTTACCATCCTTCTCCCCCTCCCCCCGCAAACACACACGCATGTCCTCACGCGCTCACCGGGTATAACGCCAGCAGTCTGCCCCCCTGCAGCACCACTCCCGCATTGGCGGCGTTACGCAGAGCTACATTGCCCGCATTCCCCAGCAGACCGCCGCGGCCCGGGGAGGCCAGGGCGCCGCGGAACAACAGCTGCCCCGCCTGGACCTCAGCCTGGCGCCTGGAGGGAGGGAAAGAGGGAAGGGGGAGGAGGGAGGGAAGGGGACGGAAGATTCAGGGCAGGGCGGAGACAAAGGGTTGTGCGGAAGCGGGGAGGGTGGTGTGATGTGTGGAATGGGGGAATGGACCGGGTTCGGGTGGCGTGTGTGTGTGTATGTGTGTAGGTAACAGGTTTCTGTGCGGGCGTGGTGAGAGACTCTGATGTACCCTCATGGTACATGATACACGTAGTACACACACGCCGCGGGTGCTGCGTCATGCATTCACTCTCCGCTGCCCCCTTTTCCCCCGGGCCCCCTCCAGCGGAGGGGCTCCGCGCCCGGTTGTGCCGCCGCTAGAACGAGAACACTCACTCAGCTGTGCGCACGAATGCGGATCTGAAGAACGCCCTTCCATCCCCCGGCAGCGCCACGGAGGCTACCAGCCCGTCCCCGTCGTAGGGGTGACCGGCGCTGTCCTGGCCCCGGGTGAAGCAGCCGGGGCCGTTGCGGAAGAAGGTCCCCGTGAGACCCGCTGGCAGCTGGCCGTCAGTGACCTGGGCGGGGTTGTCGGGAGGGGGGGAGAGGGGAGGGGAGGGCGGTTGGGAGGGGGAGAGAGAGGGCAAGGTGGGGTGCTGTTCTGCCAGCCACAAGTAGCCCATCAGCCAGCCAACCAGGCATCGGTCCATTGCCGGCACGCGTGTGTTTGTGTGCGTGTGTTTTGGGGGGGGGTCCCCATCCGCCTCCCCAGATCGGGTCCCCCTGGCCCGCAAAAATGCTGGTAGGCCCGCATGGCGCCCCGCCGTCCCCCATTTGACCGCACCACACTCCCCACCTGCCGGTTGATCTGACGGAACGATTGGTCTGACTTCCCCCGCCACCCCTTGCTCTCCCCGCTGCACCGCGCCAGCGGATGTTTTACATGTCTCAACCCCCCCTCCCCTCTCCGCCCCTCTTTTGCCACCTGCAGCCAGGCACCCTCGGGCTCCTCTTGTGCATTGAAATCGTAGCCTTTGGCCCAGGCGTCCTGGGTGCCAAACAGCAGGCAGGTAAGAGGCGGGGTTGGGGGCCAGATGCGGATTGGGGCAAATGGGCGCCAGGCAAGGCTACGCGGCGAAATATATACAGCCCATTTAACTCTTGAGCATCCCCTTCTTCCCTTCGGCCTCCCTCGGGAGTTGCTCCTTTGACTGTTGAACATGACTCCCCCGACCCACGTAATTCTAGTGAGTTATTCATTATGGACAGGTTGCTGCCTGGGACTGTCGGATAGGGATCCACGGCTAGTATTTCGGGCGCAGCACTGTGCGATGAGCAAAGGCTGCGAGCGGGCTCACCAGGAAAGGGCGATATTTGGCGCTTACGCGGGTGTTCTGGCTACTGTTTTCTGCAGAAGCGACTGCAGCTGCGACTGCAGCCGCGGTAACTGCAGCTGGCGCAGGCGCGCCCGCGGCTCGCTGAAAGGTCGCTCTCGGAGGATGGATGCCGACGGCTAGTGGCCGAACACAGTTTCCTTGAGAGTCGCTTTCTGAAAAGGATGAGTGATCAAGATTTCCAGTAGTTGGGCTGGTAGCGACAGGACTATCGCTGGTAGCAGAGTTGGAAGCGGCATGGAGATTGACGATGTTGCGCAGAGGAGGCCGCGATAGAAGCGTTTTAGGCGCAAGCTTCCTAACTGTTGCATTCCCTCTGTGCTTATGGCCCTTCGGAGCCCTGCACCTGTGGGAGGGGAGTAACATGCAAGGGATGTCGTGGGGCGCGCAGTTTGAAAGTGCGCAGTTGATCCAAAGCTCCGTCGAAGCCGATGCTGTTAGTGAGGGAATGCTCTAACCTGTAAGATGATAATCTCATGATGGAATTCATATAAGGAAACGTCGCATGCGGACGAAATTGATTGCTCTCTGGAACTCCTAATCCGGCCGATCAAAGTTTATGCGTGCAAGACATTGCAAGACCTAATACCTGAAGGGTACTTTGTCCTAACTCCTAAGCTTCCAACATTAAGCTTTGGCCTGACCCGTCCAACGGTTAGGTCGGTTAGCGACAACGGTATGACGAAAGCGCGCCAATAGATGGCAGTAGCAATACGGATGGCTGTTGTGCGATGCTGCACCCAAAATTCCCGAATAAAATAATAAAATAAAATAAAACGCCGATTGCCATAATCACTGTGCCATTGCCATACCCGATATACCGGTAACACCCTGCCTAGGGTCACGGCTGAGGGGAAGTTACATCTCAGGTCTGGTCTGGATGCACAGCTGCAATTTTGCGATGTATGATTTTGAGATCGATTCATGAGTATCCCCCCGACATTGTTGGGAGCGTGAGATTATGGCTAGTTGCTGAGATGTAGAGTTGAGGTCAAAGTCGATGGACCGAGATTCGCACGCTGGATTGGTGGCGCCTTCTGTCTCTACGGATGTTCGGGTGACATTATGAGGAGGGATTCTAGGAGGCAGGATCAACCGCCTTGGAATTGCAGTTCGTATGGCAGTAGTGGTAAAACAGTGTGGTAATTGTGAATGGTGCTGTGTGGTGTGTTCAATCCGAGGTATGACAATCCAAATATATATTAAAAAACAAATGGCCCAGAAGCCTCCCACTCTGTCACAACAACAGCATCAACAACAACAACAACGACGACGATAACAACAACATCGCATGTGAAAGCAGAAGCCAGAAGGAAGAAGGAAGAAGCCAGGAAGGAAGATGCCAGAATACATGCATATTTTCGCATAAGTCGCGCTATGCTACCCCAAATGCTATTACCGAAACCCCCCGGCCCCGCGAATAAGACAACAACATCAGCAGAGCCTGTCTGAGACTGCTTACTGACCGTCTGAGACCCAACATGCACCACATACCGTAGTGACAGGAAATGTTCGTGTTTTTTATTTTGTGACGGCATTACGAAATTATGTCACATATAAATTACAAGCTGTTCCAGGCGATGGTCGTTACGAATATATGTGTGCTCCGAAGCCAAATCGTACAATGCCTTCAACACAGTAATTACCCGTCGAAGAGACAATACCTGCATGCTTTTCACGTGGTTCGCGTGCCTTGTCACTGGAATCTGGTGTTTTCTGGTGAGCAGAATAACCGTGCATGCATTGGCCAGCTTTTGCGTCAATCGGCGTTCTGACATTGCAGGCACCGTTGCTTCGGTTGCGTTGGCCTCTTACGAATTCAAAAGTTTCGCCAATATGTTCTGGTGTAATTTTGAGGGTGTCTCGAACAATAAAAAGACGAGCATTTCCTGTCACATGCACCACATACGGCTAGTTGCAGCTTGACGATAGCGTTGCGAGACGAACTACACAAAAAATGTAGATTAAATATAATTTTTTCAAAAAGTTCGTATAATATTACCGGTACTAATGGGGAATGATCCGCCTGAGGCTCTTAGTAAGGCTAGCATACAAGGTTAAATAGGCCACTCTCCAATCCAGTCAGTACACAGTCAATCGTTTCGACAAAAATACGAGTGTTCATTTTTATTGAGTCTTGCTAGGTCTCAAATAATTCATACTTTTTGGGCAAGGCCTCGGACGCGAAGTCCCCGGTGTTCACTGCTGTCAGTCAGTCAGTCAGCCAGTCTGTCAGAGGCTCACATATCTTGCTCCGCAAAAAATAGCGTTCAAAAGCTACACCAATTCTTCTGCGATTGTCCAATGGAGACAATTCAGATAAGTCGTTCAAATAAGTCAGAGCGCGAAGATATAGCTTTCCATGGCTTCAACTTTGACTTCCCCTCACGCCGCAGCCCTTGCCTCTTGACGTCGTTGCATATCCCTTACATCATAGACTCGTAAGCAAACGGCATGATCCTGTATGGGTTGGTTCCTTCATGCTCGGCAACTTTAGATGCATGGCAACGCTTGGATCGACCCATGGCAACGCTCCTGGCGTCTCGCTCGTGCCTGTTTGATTGTTGTCCTTCTTGTTCTCTTCTTCATTCATTCAATTCAAGTTGAACATAATAACAACATTTCGAGGGCTCCGACAAGCCCTGGTAACTTCACTACATCAAAACGCCTTTGCGACACACCGTCGGCTTTGCCGCTGCATTCCGACTTCAAAGTGTGCAATTGGAACGATTCTCGAATGCGTTCTGGCTGGGAGCGGACAACAATTGGTCCATGAAGCACGGGCACTTTGGCGCGCCTTGGATGCCAGCCAGCAGACCGAAGGGCCGGTGTCGAACATGGATGCAACGGTGGTACCACCTACGCATCGGGCAGTCCCGACTCATGGATTTGGTGCAGCAGCGGCAACACACGTTGCCCCAATGACACTCCTGCGTTGTGTGTATGTCATTCTACGGATTGTCGCATCACGAGAAGGCTAACTGTTCAGTCAATACTGATTATGCTATGGCGGCTACGCGCTTGCGACGATCCAGGCAGGTCTAGGCCGCCATAGCAAGTCAGCCGACCTTCATTGTTTGAGAATCTCAGGCAGCTGGCCGACCTCTCACACCTATCCACAACAACAAGTGTGTACTCCAAACGAGACGGCGTTCTTGTGCTTGCAGTCCTATGCCGTACGGACTGTCCTGCGAATTAAATGGGGCTCAAGTGCTTTTCGGCTTTGGAAAGCCGCCCCCCTAGTCGTATATAGTAGCCCTACTATGGGCGTTGCATGGGGGAACAGCCGCTGCTGGCGAATTTAAGCTTATTCCAATACACAGCTGATAGCTAATATCGTCTAGATGCGATTGAATTTAGATAACGTAAACAGGATTTAACTGTACGGCCTAGCAACCTCTAAACCGAAAGCCTTTTTAGGCCCCCCCCTGCCCCGCTGCAGGCGTTGTAGCAGTGTTAAACGTTATAACACTGGACGACACCTATTCGGCCACGAACCCCCGCAGGGGATGAGGATGCAGATATGACCGTTGAGGGCAAGTTGCCACATACCGACCCAATAAGATAGCACCAGCGACATGGCCAATTAGGGTGGTACAGTCGTTCGAGTCGAATCGCACGAGCACGTTTACCCATGGCAGCGCGGGGCCCTGCAGGCGCATACCAATATATCATTTGCAGTGGCGGCCCGATGACGCCATCAGGCCCATCCAACCACCACGAGAGCAGCGGCCAAGCTGTGGCTGCAAAACAAGAAATTGCGCCGACGCCTGCCATCAGCGCAAGCGGCAAGCACCGTCTAGTTGTAGCAGGCCGAACGGAAAATCCTTGCGAACGGCGAGAATGATTTTTATTAAGAAACAAACGGCGAATATTTTTTATAAAAGAAACGGCGAAGTGTGGGTGCGCTAGTGCTTTTGAGCTCAGTTGAAACGTGTTGAAACGCAAACCTGCACAGAGGCGGCAGGCTGCGGGGTTAAAAAAACAGTTTTCGCTTACAGGTCGCCTTCATTTCCGAATCCAAACAAACCCCAAAGGACAAAAAATACTTCCGTCTAACAGAGCAGAGCAGAGTTTCATTTTTCGTTAAATCAAACAACATGTTGCACGATGATGTCTGTTTCACCACTTTTCTGCCACGTCCTCCCGAAATGGCAACAAATTAAAAATTGCTCTCCATACCACCTTTCTGAGCAAAAACATCAAAGTTGCTCGCTCGCCGCGGCTACTCAGCCTTACGCGCAAACACTGTCCCTTTCGGAACCAGCGCTCGTCAAGATGCACACGTATCTCCTGCTCCTATGCGGGCAGGCAGACCGCGTGCTCTGCGGCCGCCCTCATTCATGCGCCAACGGCCCCATCTCTGGCTGATAAGAAAAACCCTCAGTTTTCTCCTTTCCAAACCACCGCAAACCAAACAACAAACTAAGCACAAACCAGCAAGACAAGAAAAGCGAAGGCCATCATACGCACCGATCCGCGCCCGAGTGCACCAGCCCAAGACTCCGGTGCGCCATCAGTAAGTATAGAGCGTTCATACTCAAAAAGTCCTAACCCAAAAAAAACAACCGCACCTCTCACATCAATCTTAAGACTGCTTAAAATTCGTGTGTCGCCGTCCAGCGCCTGCATCCCCGGTGCAAAAGAGCATATCCCGGAGGCGCACGAATCATCTCCATCGCATGCATTATCCCGCAAAAACCGGCGGGCCCTGGTGCTAAGAGCATGTCCCGACTTGCTTAACACGTACAGTGAACATAACACGGACATACATACATACATGCATAGAAACATACATACAAACATTGAGCAGGGACTGCCCCGGGAAAGGGGGCCGCTGGCGAAGTTAACCACCCTGTAACAACATACATACATACATACATACATACATACATACATACATACACAACAAGGCTCTGCTTTGTACGAATGAAAGTGCTTTTTATTCCCGATAGACAAAACCTTTTCACTTAGCATCGAGGAGAATGTTTAGGGACAGCGCATTGAGGGACAGAAACAGGCTGACGGATAAAAACAGATGCACAGGCTGACGGACAATCATGCAGAAACGCAGAAAGGAAGACCTGGCGACAATTGCATGTATTTAAAATGTCTGTCGATCGTAACCTATCCGGCCAGCTATCCACCAGGCCATGCACGTGCACTTGGCTCATGCAACCGCACGCACTTACAGCCGCCCACCAAGGTCCAAAGTCATTTTCCCACCACCCCACCTGCAAATAGTCAGAAAACGCCAAAAAAGAATTTCATCATCCTCATCGGTGTTGTTGTTCTCATCCTTGTTTTTATTGCATGCTCACGACTGATGTACATGCCGTACGAACCAACTTTTGGAAGACGGTTATTTCGCATCAAAAAAAGTTACATCATGCCGCCCTGGTAACTGCGATGAAAATAACGAAAGCCGCCTCCAAAGCTGCCAAAAAGATTTTGATAACGTGTACCGTACACAAGATTTCTGCCATATCGTCGCCTGTCTGACCAACATACTTACTGTACATCAGTAGGTCAGGCACTACTGATCGCGGACCCGCAGGGTGAAGATATAACCCTCCCCTGTCCCACACATCATACATATACTATGTCCTCAATTTCTCAAAAAACAAACGGTGTGTTGTTTCCACCAGCGGAAATAGTTTAGCGGATACCTTTAAGCCGTTGGGCAAACCCAACCAACAGCCGCGTCGACAAACCAACAGAGGGAGAAGGATAGAATACAGCCTTAGTACGTACCATAGGGGACTCCGTCCCCTTTAGGGGAAGAAGGGGACGTACCATATCGCGTACCGCACAGAACGCCGACTCTCACCACCACACAGACCTCCCCCCCATGAGGGTGCTGCAGCAGCAGGGCACACAGACCAGGGGCCGTGTGTCATAGCTGCACGAGAGGAAAGCCCCACCTTTACCTTAGAGCTCTTCTTGCACCATTCGCCACTGGCTGGCTATACACAGCTCCCCGATATCCTCCCCATCGCCGCATATGTCGTCACCATGGACCACCTCTCCACTGCCACCACGGGCCACCACCACGGCCCATACAAGAACCACCCACCACCCCAAACAGGTCGAAACCACCCACCAACCTTCCCCACCGTCGAAACTCCCTTCCCTCCATCCCTCCCTTTCCCTCTTTCCCTCAACAAGCTCCAGTTCCCTGTTTGTCCTTAGGGTTTCGAAATACTTTCCTCTCCTTCCTTCTCCTACCCCATTTGCACAACACAAAATGGGAGATACGGCCACACGAAAACCCACACACAGGAACGGCAATATGATCGAGACTTCCAACATACGACAACACGGTACGAGCGTACGACACGGTCCTTTCCCACGAGCTTCATTTTATTTAACTTGGCGCAAACACACACTCGCAAAAATACTCACGGAGCAAAAAAACCCGATTGCCGCCACCGTCGACAGCTGCCATCACCGCGTACAATGCCGTACGTTTGTAGTACAACATCGAAATACGTGCAGTCTGTACGGACAGCCAGGGGGAAAGTTTGATGCAAAAATGCACACGATGATGCCTGACACCGAGCATAAAACTGCCGTACCGCCACCAACCAGCCCAATTATTCGTCTATTTTCTCAGCCGCTCGAGCCCCATTAAGTACGACATGCGTACGACATGTAGCAACTAGGGAATTAGGACTATTGCTTAGTCAGTGGAGTTCGCGTGGCACATCTGACCTGAAGAGATGCTTTCGAGCAAGCGAATGGTGGGGCCGCGGTAGACGACACCCCTTCCGCTCCCCCTTCCCCCTCCCCTTCCTCTCCCCCTTCCCATAGTCAACATAACCCCCCCAACAGAAGAACACATACACACGTTCCCCCTCACACACACACGGATTAACATCCTGCCCACTCTTCCTTAAGCCGTACAAAATGCACAAATGCACGTACGTACAGAATTACATTGCGGGATGATGACCGTATTAACAGTCCGTACATCGCGTGGCCGTTACGAAGCGAATGCATGCAAACACGCATACATACATACATACGTTGGGTCCGTTATTCAGTCCCACCGCACAGTCATCTTCCTCCTGCTGCCACCTCCAGTGATGTACGACAACATGAGCTCTGTGTGTGTGTTTGTGTGTCTGCGCGCGTGTCTGTCTGTCTGTCTGTGCATGTGTACAGCAGTCGAACGATGTGTTACGCAGAGTCCGACGTGCATACATACACACATACACATCGCCACACGCAGCCACATAACAGAAAATTAGATGTGCGGATAGATACATGCTCGGATATTCCGAAATAGATGATGCCGTATGCTACTAGGACTCGTAACTAAAACACGTTACTGCAGCCACCAAATGCCCCACCTATCAGCCGACGGCATTCTAAAACTGCGAAACACCTCATCCTCAAACCGCAACGGAGGTGCATCAGCTCATAGGAAGCAAGTACGATATGTCGTGCAGCTGATAGTTGGTTAGTTAATTAGTTCGTAAATTTTGATGCTCAATTAGTAAATAGCGAATGAAGTAATTACGTAGGCAGGTAGTTGTGGATGGATTTCATTTGCTAGTTAGTTAGATATGCCGTTGAGCAGTTATGAGGGTGGTTAGGTGAGAGGGGCCTCATGTTCACTCCCACCCCCACTCCCACACGAGTGGGCCGTCGTCAAAGGATTACCCCCCGGCCCCCGCCCCCCTGAGGAAAGCCAAACGGAGGCGGAGCACGTTTTCCCCCCCCCCATCCGCCCAATCAGCGTCCTGACTCCAACAACAGCTGCGCAACACGCTGCCTGGGCTGCCTACCGCCTACCTAAGCAGTAGACCTGGCCCCACAACCGCCGACACACCCCAATGCAGCCAGAAAAACAACTGCCCCGGCTAACCACCAACTGTCAGGACACTCCTTGATAAAACTTAACTTCCCCCGCTGTTGCCCTGCTCAAACGCCGTTGGCGTGCCTGCAACACACATACACCCATACATACATACATACACCCATACATACATACATACACTCCCCAGAAGCCAACCAACATAAGTCATACGCTGCTCGACCTCTCCTCCTCCTGCCCCTCAAAAAACTGGATCTTAATTCATGCCACGCACCCCAGGTGGTATGTGTGTGTGTGTGTGAAAGGTCGTATACGGCCGTACAGCCGTACAGCCTAAAAAAGGACAGCTCATGTCGTGGAGTGCTCCCCGTCGCGAATGCTTAAGGATATTTTGCCCCTTCTCAACAAAAAGGTAGAAGGCTTCTGAAGTGCCACGCGGTGCGGTTATCTCTATACTTTTGAAGATGCAAATGCCCGCGAGTAAGATAAGATGCCTCTTCACACTCGCTCGCCTAAAAGCGGTGAATTTTTAGCTAGTAGAGCAACTTTTAGCAGTTTAGTTTAGAGAACAAAAGTCTTCACCATAAATGGCTCTACGGTAGCCAGTCGCGTATAATCGCAAAGACGCGCTGACGTGCAAAATCGCTCGCAAAGCTAAATATATTCGTCTAAAAAGTTTTCGCCACCCGAATTTTAATCTCGTCAAAGCGACTTACATCGCGACGGAAAAAGCGTCGATCCCGATATCTCGGGAGCTGTTCATGAAGGCAGAATTAGCTGGTGGCCGCTGGGACCAAGCAGGCCGACGGCCGACGACCGACCAGCAAACTGACCAGCAAACAGGGCGGCACATGAAGACGAAAACCATACAAGGACAGCGCAAACAGCAAAAAACGGGCAGCCAGCCCACTACCAACTACCAACTGCATCTCCTCCCGCTCTTTTACCTCTTCACCCGTGCAGCCGCTGGGCCCATCCTCCTCCTCCTCCTCCTCCTCCTGCCCCTTTTTACTGGACTCCGGAGGGTTTAGTTGCGAAAGCACAAATTAGATATCCTTCAGTTCAGGGCACGGCGCAATCAGGCAGTAATCGCCAAGGGGCCCCCACCGCCGGCGCCTCTGCCATCTCGGCGGCAGCGGCGGCGGCGGCGGCGGCGGCGGCGCCATCCCAATCATCGTCCTCGGGAACGTCCTGCAGCGCTGGGCCCTTGCTGCCGCGGCGGCTGCTGCTTACGGCCCGTGGCGGCAGTGCCGCCGCTGCCGCACCCACCGAGGTTGCCGTCACCTGCGGCATACTTGCCGTCGGCAGCGGCGTCGCAGAACGGGTGTACGACGGCGACCATAGCGCGCCTGAGCTGCCGGTGCTGTTGGATCTGCCGCCGCCGCCGGCGGCGGCAGCGGCGGCGGGGCCTCCGGCAGCCGAAGCTGAGGCCCTCGGGTGCCCTGATGCCCTGGCGGTGGCGGCGGCGGCGGCGGCAGCGGCAGTTTCTGTCAAACCATCCGCTTCAGTTCCCGCGAATGCGGTTGTAGCAGGTTTCGTCAACGCCTCCGCGGCTATTGGCGTCGTCGTGGTTAACGCCAGAACGCTAGCGGGGCTCTCGTCGCCTGACCTGACGGCTGACCGTCCTGTGTACACATGCGGTCCGCCGACCCGCACGGGCACGGCGATCGGCAGGTTGTAGCAGCTACTGCCGCCGCCGCCATCGCTTGTGTAACCGCCTCTGCTACTGCACACCGTCATTGCAACGCCACTTCCTCCACTGCCGAATCGGCCGCTGTAGCCAAAGCCGCCGCTGCTGCTGCCGTAGCAGTTCACAGCGGGGTGCGCCGCCGCCGCCGCCACCGGCGGATATCTGTACGAATACGGGTACGGATGGTAATGTCCTTGCCAGTCCGCTGGAGAACCTGCTGGCGGCAGCTGGCCGTCAGCTGAAGGTCGCATGTTAGGACTCGTCAGCATCCAGGACGCCGACTTAACAATGCCCGCCGGCATCCAACTAACGCTACTGCAGCAGCTGCCGCCGAAACCGCCTCCGCTGCTGCAGCTAGTGTTCGTCGTCGCAGCCGTCGCAGCGATGGCGGCGGCGGCGGAGCCCTCTTCCGCAGTCATTATCGCGAGGGCCCCGGATACCCCGGGGCCGCCATGGCCGTTTGCTAGAGATGCGATGCGAGGCAATGCCGGAGGAGTTGGAGACGCCGAAGCAGAAACGGTGGCGGAGACTGTCTTTAGGGACGTTGTCGTGGCAGCGGAGGCGGTGGTGCTAGATACCCAGGAAGATGGCGAGGCGGCGGCGGACATGAGGATGTTGGCCCCGGCGGCGGCGGCGGCGGGTGTGGCGGCGGCAACGGGGGATGGGAAGGCGGGAGAGGGAGTGACGATGCATGCGTCAGCAGCCATAGCGGCAGCCGCGGAGCTGTCACAAGCAGCATTGCAGTCGACGACAGACGCCTCCCCTGCGCCACGCTGCCATAGTTGGCCTCGCATCGCCGCCGCCGCCATGGCATCCGCCGTCACCAGCGCCGTCACCGCAACCCTTGACGGCTGTTGCTGTTGCTGGCCCCAATCCGCGTCAGTCTCCGTTGCCACATCGACCACCGGCACTGTCGGTTGAGCAGCTGCCGGCGGCGGCGTCACAGCCCCTGCAGCGCCTGGAGGCTCAGCAGCACCAGTCGCCGCCGCCAGCAGCGGCGGCGGCAGTGGCGACGAGCCCCCGACGGGGCCGTCAGGGTGCACCGTTGCCAACGCAACCGTCGACATCCGGAGCAACACCTCCGTCGCCTCTGCAGTCCCAGCAGCCCGCGAGGAGCAGTTGGCAGATTCCGGTCCCTGAGCGTAACACTGTCGCTGTCGCTCCCGTCGCTCTTGTTGCCGTACTTGTTCTTGAAGTTGACAAGAGTGATGCGGTAGGGGCGAGGTGCTGTACGGCGGTCGCGGCTGCTGTGCAGCCGTCTGAGGATGCTGTTGGAACGCACACGACGTGGATAGCTGCGCCGCCAGCGGCGGGCTGAGGATGACGTGATGATGCGACAGAGGGGAGGAACCGGCGGCGGCAGCGGCGGCGGCGTAACCGCCGACGCCGACAGCGCAGTACAGCGGCATCAAACCGCTGAGAGTTTCGGACAGCTCGGGGGCGTCAGCAGAAAACGTAACGTGACCGGCGGCAGCGGCGGCGGCGTGCTCCTCGTCAGGTCGCTGCAGGGAGGAGCTTCGCAGCGGCGAGGTATAGTACGACATCGGTGTGGCCGGTGCAGCTGCGGTCGTCGTCGCCAGCGCCAGCACCTCGCCGCCAGCGGCTCCACAGCTTCTGGCTCCGGGTCTGTTATCAGGGACGGTGGCGGTGGCGGCAGCGGCGGCGGAGTTGACTGCCCCGAAACTGCAACTGGTGGAAACGATGAATATTTCTTGCTGTTGCTGTTGCTGCTGCTGCTGTTGTTGTTGTTGTTGCTGGGCGAAGGATGACGATGGTGGCATTGCAAGACCGATCTGGCGACTGATACCTGCTGGCGTACCAGCTGGCGGGTTGTGCTGGTAAGCGACAGCGTCACCAACATGCCTGCCGTACACGCACGGAGGGTAAATCTTGTACGGCTGCTGTTGCTGTTGGGGCGTTACCGCGGACGGGAAGGAGGACGAGGTCGCCAAGGCTGCTTGGCGAGCATTGCTCCGTACAGATAGCTCCCGGACCCGCACCTCGATGCCCGCCAGCGCCACCACCACCTCCTGCGCGCACCCCGGCAAAAAATAGGGCATTGTCGAATTCAAATATAAATGTTCCGCCCCATCTAGAGGTAAGATTCGTATGAATTGGCCATGGATCCGGAGTTGAGAACGACAGGATCTGGAACCGACAGGTGGGTCGGAAAGAGAAGCTGGATCCAGCTGGCAAGGTGTACGATAGCGGTGACGGAGCGGTGAGGAAAGGAGAACCCAAAGAAACGCCCCCTGCCCCAACCCCGCTTCCCCCCCTCGGGGTCCCCTCTCCCCCCAGCCTGCCCCCGAGCCACTCCCACCTTGAAGGTGGGTCGCTGCTCCGGCTCGTGACGGCAACATGCTTGGCCCAGTCTCAGAAGGGGGGGTGGCATGTTGGTCGGCCACTCGAGGCGCAGACTGCCGAACATGACCCCCACCGCCACTTGGGCTGTGTGTGCAAAGACAAGGAGCGGGTTCGCGGGTGGGGGTTTGGGGTGGGGGGCTTGGTGTATGTGTGTGTGGGGGGGGTTAAGGGTGGGTTGGGGGGGGGGAGAAGAAGTCTGGGCGATCACGGAAAGGCAGTGATGAGGGCTGTGTACGGCAGTAATGGTTGCAGAGAGAGGTGGTTGTTGTGGTGGTTGCAGGTACAACGGCCCCGTCCGAAGGTGCCTGGTCGCGACCCCTAACCCCCCCTACCACCCACCTTCTAGGTGGCCTGCAAAGGGCGCCTTGCCCGTGTACATCTGCCAAAGCAGCACACCGAAGGAGTAGACCTAGTGGGGGGGGGGACGGGGCGAAAAGACGACCACGAAGGAGTGAAGCCGATGAGGGGGGGAGTGAAAAGGGGAGGGCGGAATCATGTGCAAATAGAAAAATAGGAATGAGCTGCCAGCATCCTGCCGGAGTCGGAAACTCCGTAAGGGGGGTGGGAGGGAGTGAAAAGACCGCAGGGGGATCCCTCATTTGCTGCCTACCGCTGCTGTTGCACTCAGTGGAACAATCGGTAATACACCGGCCTGATGCCCTCTCTCCCCTCCCCTCTCTCTTCCTCCCCTTCCCCTGCCCTCCCCCCCTCGCCGCTCCCGGATTCTGGATTCGGTGCATGCGGCTGCCCTATACCCCCTCATGCACCTCGCCATTTCCCCCCTCCTCCCCCTTCCCACCCCCTTTCACCCCCCGACCCTCGCGCACATCTGAGCTCTTGCACAGCCGGTTGTCCAGGTACTCCCCCGCCATGTACGGCACCGTACCCCAGTCGGCGGTTGTGACGTACTCCTCCCTCTGGTTGCACAGCCGGGACAGTCCAAAGTCGGCCACCTGCGATTGGATGAGCACCACCCAACCACCGCCTTCACAGAAGACCCAAAACTGAAAAACAGAATTTCAGCTGCAGCAGCACCAGCCACAGCATATCGCGTCATACTATTGCCAAAACATTTTAATGTTCGATAGCAAGCTGATCAGACACTTGCATGGGTTGTCCATTGCACATGGAACTGGCACTTGGTGGCGGCTCGGCAAGCAGACAGACAGTATCGACATGCAGACAGACAGATAGATAGATAGATAGATAGACAGACAGACGGCTCCTCTTGGCTGCAATCCTGACTTCACACCTTCGCCACGAAGCCGCGCGAATCGATGCGGCTGCTCTTGAGCAGCACGTTCCCGGGCTTCAGGTCGCCGTGGATGATGTTCAGGGAGTGCAGGTGGCTCATGCCTTGGGCCACCTGCACGCAGGTCAACAGGGGTCATTTGACGCGGAGGGGGCCAAACACGAGTCTGTCGAGCGAATGTTGGAGTTCATTCGCGAGTTTTTCTTTTTCTTTTTTCCTTTTCCTTCTTTTCCTTTTTATGTCTTCTTTGTATTCTTTTCCTTCTTTTTTCCTACTTTTTCTTCTTTTTCCTTTCTTTTCCTTCTTTTTCTTTTCCTCCTGCTGCTGCTGCTGCTCTGCAGTATAAAGATCAAGCCAAGTCAGTCTTTTTTTGCTCTGTTTGGGATCCAAATTTCTTATCATCCCCAGCCCTCCCTGCTCCCCACCTCACCTCGCGAGCGGTTCTGAGCAGCGCCCGCAGTGCCCAGGTCCGCGACCGACCCCGAGCACCTCCAGGGCCGGCTGGGGCCTGAGGTTTGAACACGCCGCGCCGGATGGCGGCGTGCAAAGTCCCCTCGTCGCACCACTCGCTCACAATCTGCACCACGTACTTGCCGGCCACAGCTCCCAGCTGACGAAGAACGTCCCAGCTGTTGACGGGCCTAAGCCGCAAGGGGTCGCCATGCACGTTGCCCTCAAAGCTGTCCATGGCTCGGGCAACTGAAAAAACGTCTTCGGCATCGGCGCAACTGTTCTCGTTTTGTGCGTCAGGGGATGATATTCTGCAGGGCGCTGCGTTGTTGTCTGGCTGAGCACGCAACGACGGAAGGTCATCCATCGAAAAACGAGCTGATGGTGCGAGGTCGCAGGCGCTTCCCTGGTACATGGCTTCATCATCCAACTGGCAAATAGCACAATCAAATGTCTGAACCAGAAAGGGATGCGCCAGCATCTTGGCAAGAAGTGCCTCCATGAACGCGGCTGGAACATTCACGGCATCGGTGACAATCCACTTTACAGCCACGATGCAGCCAGATTGCCATTGAGCTGTAGAAGGTTAAAATGGGATGGAAGCACGTGGGCCATTAAAATCGCGCATTGAGCAAGCCCTAAACCTAGCAGTAGGGAGAAACGCGCACCCCTGCGCGCTGCAAAACAATTGCTGTATACCAGGAAAAGAACAAATGTAGACTGTAATAATGATAAAAGAGTAACGACTAGATATGTGGGTCTTCCGGGGAAAGTCGCGGCTGTGTCGAGTTTTCAACGGAGCGGTGGACCGCGGCTATCGATCACGTGCCAAGATTTACATATCACCAGCGAAACTTGCCTTTGACAACGGCTCCTTGGGCGCCTTTTCCGATCCAGCTCGCAGATGATATAGCATTAATCAGCTGTGCAATTGTGGACCGCCGTAGGTCACGAACTGGCGGTTGACAACCTGTCGCATTAGAGCAGGCCGCGCTGACAACGCCGCTGTTGGGGAGGCCCAGTAATGCGGTGCTGTCCAAAATTAGGCTGTCTGGCATGTGCAAAAGTCTTGAGGACGAGCAGTTCAGTGAGAGAAACGGACTTGGGTGGAGAAAAGCTTCCAGCTCCGGTCTGTTTCCCCAATCACTACAGCGCGCCAACACGATTGGAGTCTCCGCTGGCGTCGTTGCATCAATAGCGACAGTCGTATTGGCGATGGGTGACGCGCAGCCGTGCGTACTGCCACCATGAGCGACGGGAGCTGGGAAGCTTTGCGCTGTCTCGTTACATCCAAGCGTTATTCCTGACGCCTCAAAAGCTGCAGCCTGCTCAGCGATTGGGCACGTGCACACGTCACGCTGTATCTGCAGCGAATCGGCCTTGGTTGGATGGTCCTTCACTGTGCCAACGAAGCAGCATCGCAATTTCCACATATGAAGAGGAGGTTTACGGTAGCTCAAAGGAACGCTTTCTGGTCGGAGCAGATACTGGCGTCAAAAGTCCCATTTAAATTGTGACGGATTTATTGGACCACAATTATCGCGTCGTTCCTCAAAGTTCTTTGCCTCCTAGCCTACTTAGCCAATCGCATGAGAAGAGGAAGCATTTGAAATGATGGAAGGGTACGACAAATAAAGTATCTGAGAAAAGTATCACGCGCGAGATTTCCCTACCGAACGCGAACCTCTAACTCTACGAATTGGTAAATCTGATAACTTGATCACATAAACACAATAAATATTTCTTGCATTGATTGGAGCATACCTGAACCTGTGGGCTGTGACCATTTTCTGAACCTCAGGAGTCCGGCCAATTTAGGGTGTATTTCCAGTGCGGATTAACGTCGCGGATTAACCCTCTGTCCTCCATCGATACTTGCTCAAACGGCTAAGTTGTTGGCAAACTTACATCGCCTTTCCAACCTTTGGTTCCCTTATGGAACGAAACTATGTGGTAAGCTCGTACCAAGGACTTCCGTGCCCTAATCCCTGGCCTTAATCCGCACTGGAAATGCACCCGTAGGCTTATCATACCACCACCAACAACAATAACAACAACACAGCAGCAGCAGCTGCTGCTGCTGCTGCTGCAGCAGCCGCAGGCCAGCAGAACGGCAGCAATTTGTGCGCCCGACTCCGTACCAATCAACCCCGGTGTATGACCACGCCGGTGTCCCAGTGGGGGCCGGTAATCCTCCCCCCTTTTCACTCTTCTAATCGCAAATACCTAGTCTGCCGCCGCCGCCACCACTCTTGCCGCCGGCAGCCGGGGGCCGGAACCGTGCGGGAGGGAGAGGTGACGACGTAGGCGTTTATATGTCTGGTACATCCCCACATCACCTGCCACTGGCCCCGCGACCAGTCTTGATTGCAGGCCTTCATTCGCTGTCCCCGAGTATGCATGTAAGTGTATGTATGTATGTACTCCCGATAGGCGATTTCAACCCCACGCGCGGGACATCACGCATCGTCATCATCATCATCGCAAACACCAAAAAAGAGCAAACTGTAAACAGCGCCGAAAGTAGCTCACACAGCCAACAACAGCAACAACAGCAACAACAACAATCTCTCTTCCCTCCTCAACAGCCAAACCTCTTCGCAAAAAAAAACACCCACATATACACACACCCACACCACAGTCAATGCAGCATCTTCGTCGTCTTTGTCGCCTTCTTCGCCATCTTCACAATCTTCATCAAGCACCGTGAAAGACGTCCCACTGGGTTACCCCTGCTATAGGTGCCCCTGGCCAGTGTCAGGCCCGAATCCATGTGTGTAACAGAAACACACAGAGACACACACACACACACACACCGCCAGGATCCCCAAGTTCGACTTTTCCTCTCCCCCCCCCCACACACAACTGCAACACAACACAGCTCCGTTGGGGGTTGTTCGAGAGAGGGTACAACCTAACACACTCAAGGCACCAGCAGCAGCCGCCCGGAGCCCACCGGGCTGTACGACATGACGCGTCGTATCGCCAACGCCTCGCTTAACGATAGCCACGTGGCGCCGTCGTCCAGCTGTACGGCAGCGCCTCGTATCGCCGTCCCGCTAACCGCCGACGTCGGCAAGCCCCCCGAGGCCACCATCGATGACGACGACCGACTGGGTACATGTGCCGCCACCACCACCACTGGACCCCGGGATAACGCCGCTAGGCTGACGCCGGCGGCGGCGGCGGAGGCGGTGGCGGAGGTAACGCCACACAGGCGGTTGGCACAGAAGGACGACGACGACGCCACCGGACCTTCGGCGCTGCCGCCGCCGCCGCCGCCGCCTCGCGGCTGGTGTGGCGGCGAGCGAATGCTGCGGCCCGGCGGTGGGGTGGTTGCTGATCCGCGTGTCGAGGGCAGGCGGGCTTCCACGCTTGCAAGCCGGGACTGGATCACACCCTGGAGGAGGAGATGAAGAAACCCAGATGAATGCAAAACACCCATATGGGGAAAACACACAGACACACATACATACATACATACAGACAGACAGACAGACAGACAGGCAGACAGATAGACAGGCAGGCCGACAGACAGACAGACAGACACAAGACACGCACACGCGTATAAAAAGCTGTTCGTGTGCCATCCCCACTTTCCCGCCCCCCCCCGCAGGTCCTCAGGCTCCTCAGCTTATGAAGATACGTACATAAACAGACGTACGTAAACAACAACACATAACCACAAAACCCCCGGGGGAACATCCGGGGAAAACCACCCGGGGGTTGCCGTTAATGACAGACCATTCATGAGTGCCTAGGGATGGCGTTTCCTTATGTGGCCTCCATATCTGGCTGCCGTATGCCTGTGCCTCCCCCCTTGCTGTCGTACACCGACCTGCAACCAGGCGCTTCCCGGCGGCGCCAGCAGCAGCTCCAACAGCGCCTCGCGAACCTCCCCTGGACTGCCGTACGCCGGCAGCGCCAGGCACTCGTCCAGCGCCTCCGAAACCTCAGCGGCAAGCCGAGACTGGGGAACGGGCAACCCCGCATCCTAGCGGGGCAGCAGCAGCGGCAGCGGCGGCACCGCCGATGTGACGTACATAACGGATAGGGGCGTGCAAGTCGGCACAAGGTATGGTGCGCCTGTATGTCAGTAAGTCAGTACCTTGCCAGGTAGGTGCGCAGAAAAAGCACTTTCGCAGGTTTTGCACGTCCCATCAGGATTCCAAGAATTATGGAGACAGGAGAAAAGAAAGTCACCAGCACCAGCCTCAGCAACATTAACCAACTCCTCACCCACCCCCCAAACCCCCCACCCCAAGCCCTCACCGGCTGCTTGGCCGCCCAGTCCTCAAGAACTCGCACCAGGTACAACCCCGCGGCCGCGCAGCCCTGCTCCAAACACAACAACGCCCCGAGGTAGACCGCGTGGGAGAACACGCGGGACCAAACCGCTCCACCAAGGGCGGAGGCCTCCAGGCTGTATGTACGGCAGCGTACGACATAGTACGACGGCGTCAGTGATGGGCAAGGCAGGGTAGGGCAGTTGAGGGAAAGGGGTTGCCGGATGCGGGGGGATGAGGGCGACATGTGGACATATGGACAGACGCCGCAGTCAAGCAAAAAGAAAAACCAGCGCAAAAAAACCAACACGTACATGTACATGTTTACAGACATACAGACACGCACACAGCCATGCATGCACACACGCACACGCACACACACACACACTAACTGACTACCTACCTGTTGACGGCGCCCCACGCCAGCTCCCACTCCGACGATAGCAACGACACCCGCTCGTCCGCTTCCAGCAGCCGCCGTACACCCGCCAGTGCTCTGTCCGCCGCCGCCGCCTGTTGCCCCGCCAGCAACAGCCGCCGTACGCCCTCCCAGCCCGCCGCTGCATCCACCGCCACGGCGCCCGGAACCTCCGCGGCGGCGGCGTACTGTCCCGGCTCCCTCAGCCCCAGGTAGCCGAACACTCGGGACGCGAGCTGCGGGTCCGCGTGGGCGAGGCAGCGACCCGCTAGCAGGGCGTGCAAGTCGGGGCGGTCGGGGACCTGTAGCCGCCGCCGCACCGCCGCACCGCCGCCGCCGCCGCCGCCGCCACCGTAGCGATAGGGAGGGGGAGGGGGAGGGGGAGGACGAAACGTGTAGAGTAACGCAAAAAGAGATGCGGCATATGGAGTCGGAGGAAAGGAACTGCACTGCGGCACCGCGGCGCCCGCCGACAGTGACAGATCCAAAAACGCAAGAAGCGGCACCAGAAGCGGAAGCGGAAGCAGCAGCAGCAGCAGTAGTGTTTTCGTGGGGGGGGGAAATCCTGTTAGGGCTCCACTATTGGGGGGAATCACCAAGGCTTTTGAAGATGTGATGGTGAACTGCAGCAACTCCAGGAAATGAAAATTTCAACTTTCCTGCAGACAGTCCTTCATAACCCGCAGGCAGACAGTTCTCCCTCCTCCCCTCCCCTCCCGCCCAACACACACCCTCTCGTCCCACCTGCTTTATGAGCTCCGCCGCCGTCAAGTAATCCCCCGCCGCCTCACGTCGATAAGCCGCCGCCGCCAGCACCCGCGGCCGCAGCAAGGCCGCCGCCGCAGCAGCAGATTCCGCACCGCCGCCGCCGCCACCAGACCCTATCCGGCTGCTTTCCAGCCCCACTCCAAACGCTCCACAACCGGGGGCCCCACCGCCGCCGCCTCCTGAAGCCGCCGCTGCTGCTGCCGCCGCTGCCGCCGCCGTCGCCGGCCGCGAGAGGCCCTGAACCAGCGCCAGCGCCATGTCCTCTAGGCCGCCTCGCAGCAACATACCCACCGCACCCGCCAGGTCGTCGACCGTCAAAGCGCAGCAGGCGGCTTGTAACGGAAGCCCCCGGGCGAGAAAGGCACGAGCCTGCGCCATTCGTACGGCGACGGCGCGCTCAAAAGACAACCGAGTAGGCCCGCTGCCGCCGCCGCCGCCGCCGCCGGCAGCGGCGGCGGCGGCGCCGCGGGACTGACGGATGGTCGGTGACAGGCCCACGCGCGTACTGGTCGGCGGCGTCGGCGCCCGCGGGGAGGATGGTGCTGCGGGCGTATGTGTTGGTGTGAGTGCCAGCGGCGGCGACGCCGGGGGCAGAAGCAGCGGTACCGGGCCCGCGTCGACTCCGAATGGTGTGGAAGCTGGCGGCGAGTCGGGCCGCAAGCTCAGCAGCGGCGGGTTCCGTGGCGACGACGGCGACGCCAGCACCGCCGATGCCGACGCTGACAGCTGGAGCGGCGTCAGCATCGGCGGCCGCAGCGACTGTGAACGGTAAAGGACCGGCAGGGCGCCGCCGCGGACAGATAGAGGTGGTAGCACTGTGGTTGA